GTGGTGTCTCCTTCTCTGGAGATGTTCAAGACCTGCCTGGATGCCTACCTGTGCTACCTGGTGTAGGGAACCTGCTTTGGCAGGGGGGTTGGACTCGATGATCTCTGGAGGTCCCTTCCAACCCCTACAATTCTGTGATTCTGCAGTAGAACCCAGGCCCCACATCCCTCAACAAAAAAAACTGCCCAGAGAAAATCCAGTTTGTGCATCTTCCATCTGATAGAAACCAGTCTCTGAAAGAACCCTCTGAATAGTGCATTGACAGCTTATCTTAGAGATGTGCTAAATCTAAGGGGAGTACTTTCTCAGGAAGAGTCAGGGATGCAGCCTATGCTACTACGTTACTCATGCTTTACACAGTTTTCCCAAGCAGTATTTTGCTTGCTTTCATGCAAGCAGTATTTATTATTTAAATGATGAATCTGGAAAATATCCCAGATCTAACGTCTGCACCATTGCTTTTTCTCCTGGATACTGCAGATAATCAGATGAACAGCAAATCTATTATGTGGAATAGAATTACAGTATCTTTTCTTTGTCAAACAACTTGTCAGTGACTTTTCTTTTCTCCACCTCCTTAAAATGTCTCACAGATAAAAAAAAAAAAACAAGTGAAATCTGTGTGCCAAATACGCAGTGCTGCACGCATACCTCCTGTAAGGCATCTGCAAATACACCAGTGGGAGTATTTTTATCTTGGTCAAATGGGGGTGATTGTGTGAAATAGCCCCAGGTGCTTCTGCATAAGGGGTTTCTGACTGATGAGTGGAAGGAAATACTGTGGGGGTTTTTTTTGTTTGTCATCTGGGTAGTATTTTTAGCTTGATTTGCTTATTTGATTGCACTGTCTCCAACTTCCCTTGACATTTCTGAAGCCTTTAATGAGTTTCAGTAAGATAAGTGAGAGAAGAGCCCCAGAGATGCTCCCAAAGGCTTTCTCCATGCCAAGTGCCACTGGAGAGGAGAAAGGAAAGCCAGAATGTGTGACCCCACAGAGGACGATGCAGGCAGAGCGCAGCAGTCCTTTAGTGTGGAATGTTCCAGGTGAATCCTTCCACTTGCACCATCCCCCAGAAGAGCATCAAAACTTACATCTTGGTCTTTGGGAGCCGCATCAAAGTGTCCATAGCTGTGTTCAGCCCAGATAAATGGGCAAAGCTTATCCTTTTCCTGCTCCTCTAATGGCGAATGGGGAATGAACTTTACTGGTTCCTGTGGTTTCCCTTTCTTACAGAGCACATGGTGGGGCCCAGGGCCAGACCAGGATGGGAAGAGCAGCAGGAGCTGGTCAGCAACCTGCACTATGTTTTCCCAGCAACTTCCTTTGGGGAGTGAATTGAGAGAGCTCCCGTTTCCACTTCAGGTTCAGTCAGGAACCATTACAGAAGGTGTCTTCCTCGTACCTTACTTTCACATATAGAATCGCGGACTGGTTGGGTTGGAAGGGAAGAGAAAATGTGATGCCCCATCCCCAGCAGCATCAGTTGGCTTAAGTTGTATGGAACCACATCCCATGGCGTGGTGAGATTAGAGGAGATGCTGAGGTGATGACAAGGACGATACAGGGTGACACTGTGAGGCTCTTGGTGTGACTGGTGAGCAGGGCAGGAGGAGGCATGGAGAAGGCTGCTCAGACTGGGACCACTGAGTGCCTGCAGCATCTCAGCCTGGAAGAGGTCAGGCAGCCCAGCGAAGGCAGCCTTTGGGCAGTGAGTGTTTGCCAGTGATCCCAGGTGCTGCTGTGTGGTGTCGGGTCCCCCAGCCTTCTAAAGCAGCGGTGCAGGGATGCAGCTTGCTGGCATGCTGAGTGCTGCTGTGTGGTTCTCTGGCGGCTGCAGTTGTTCCTGATGAAGTGATGGTGACACGGCCCTGGGAAAAGAGAACAGAAAGGAAGCCCAGCCCCAGCAGTGACCAGCTTGATGCTGAGGCTGAACCAAATGCAAGTTACACCTTTTTCCCTGAATACAGGAGACTTTTTTTTTCCACGCGGTGATGAGAAACTGAAGGTCAGGAAGGAAACCCCTTAAGGCTCGTGAAGAACAAAATACGACGTGTTTTAACTGACGTGAAAGGTTAATGGGGAAGACCAACATCCAAGGGCTGCAGCGAGGGGAAGGGGCCTGCTTGGGCAGAGCGTGACACAGAGCACCAGGATTGCAGTCAATGGGAAGTGTGAAACCGTGCAGCAGGGAGCACAGGGCTGCTTAGCCTTGTTCAGAAATAATAGCACAGGCTTTTTTTTTTTGGACTTCAGAGCTTAGTCTGCCCTCGGTAAATACGAGTTACATTAAAAAACTGCGCACCAGGAAAAGCAAACCTCTTTTTCCTGGTTTCTGCTTATAAGATTTACAGGTACTTAAAATAAACCTATGAAAAACAGACCCAGTGTGCTGGAATTTGCTAACTAGTCAGAGCAATTACCTCCAGCTCCCAGGACCTAACTGAGCTTGACTTTTGGAAACAAGACTTGGCAGGCGCTTCTTCCCGGTGCTGTTCTGAAGGTGCAGATGAAAAGAGTTGCTGACCTCTGCCAGAAACCCCAGGAATCCAGTTCAGAGAGACACTGCAGCGATGGGCATGGCAGGCTTCAACAGCACAGATGGGGACCGGCGTGGCAAAGCCGGCGAAACATTCCCTTCTCATTGTGCGGCTGCAGCGTGGCACATTCTTTGCAATTGCCCGGTGCACCACAGTAATTAAATGGGTCAAGAGCATTAGGTTTAGATACTTAACAGGAAAATAAAGATCTCACTTGTCAGCCAGCAGCGCGTCGTGCTTGTGTCACGGGAGCACGTTGCCCTAGGAAAAGCTGATGGGAGCCTTTCTGGCATTAGCAGGTCTGTATTGCCAGTTAACTGGAAATGCTGTAAGATCTGTAAATCGGGGCTTGTTGTTGTTAATGCCCTGATTTTGGCTGACCTAAAAAAGGGAAACGACAAACTCTGCCTCTCTCTTCCTTCAGTGATATATTAGAAAAGTAACAAAAAATGCACAACCAACCTTGGCTAATAGAGGAAGGTAAAATAATCCCCGTTCTCTCTGGACTGTTCCGTACAGGAGTGGAAAGTAAAGCTGGTGTGATGAAATAAACATGATAGAAGTGCGATCTCTGTGCCGTGGGAATTGGTTTTATAAGACTCTCTGGTTTGGAGGGTGGAGGTAGTTTCACACCAGTGCTTGGGAGGAAATTGGTATGGTCAGGATCCTTCATCATTCCTGGCTGGGGAAGGAGCTCCTGTTTCCCACAGCAGTGGTAAAAGGCCTTTGGGAAGGATGAGATTTTCCTCCAAAAATACTAAGGGGCGAGTAAGGGGAATGTTCATTTCAAACATCTCCTAGGGCAGATTGCACTCTCCTACACAGCAGGAGCTCTCTGCAGCCTGCCTTTCCTTACGCAGTAAGAGATGACAGCAACTTAGCTGCTGTATCTGCAGGTTCCCTTTGCACTGAGCACTGTCACCACAGGGCTTGTGCCCTGATGCCAGGCAGTGGAGCTCACCTCAGTTCAGCCCCTGTGGGCAAACTGTGCCTTGGCTTCAGCATGTTGCCAACGATAGCTCAGCAGTGTTCCTTGTGTTGTGGTTATTAGGTGCAAGAAATAGTTTTTAGCTGTAATTAATCATTTTTAAGTAACCTCTTTTTCTACACATTTATGGCATCAGTGAGTATGACCGTTTATTATGTCTTACCTATAAAACCTGACCTGTTTTATATACTCTTTATGGAAACAGCGTATAGTCGTAAATTAAAAGATGCAACTGTTTTGGATATTTTACTGGTGGTCTTGTGTTTTCCTGCCAGAAGTGCAGCTGGTTTAGGTTTCTCAGGATAGCATTATAAAGGGCTGTATGTGTTTTGCAAGTTGATGCTTGAATTGCCAAGGCAGAGGTGGAAGGACTTCCCAGGACCAACTGAGTGATGAATCACAACAGCTCTCTGAAACTCGGTGCCTTACAGTGCGAAGCTGTTCTCATTTGTGATATTTTATCTGGTGTTTAAAATGTGAGATATTCTGCTGATCATGCTAGGCAGAGCCTCTGTCTTTTATTATTTGATAATCCATTTGATGCAGTTTGGGTGTAAAATGCCGAGAATCTGTTCTGATGTTTTCTTGTGTGGGATGCAAGCGCTGTAGGGATACAGCACTGAATGAAAACACGAGCCTGCTGAGCAGATGCCTTCCACTGGAGCTCTCAGTGTGTGCAGCAGCTGCGTTTGGGCCCTCAGGAAGGAGCTGAGGCATCTGCAGGTCTGCCTGGTGTGGGGCAAAAATTGATGGCTCTGCAAGCTGGCCACAGTGGTTAATGAAGGGTGAATTTTAGCCCAAATGTTGACAACAGCCTCATCCTGATGCAAGGTCCTGGTGTCCATAGGCTTACTGCAGAGACCCATCAGCCTGAGAGCAGAGTTCAGCCCTGGTGTGGTCAGAGCAGCATGGCTGGATATGGGAGTGCCTGGCATCAACTGCACAGAGCTGAAACCCCGTGACTGCTGTGGGAGCGTAGGAAGGCTTGTGCTGGCCTTGTACTGTTAGAAGGAACTGCTAAATGGGAAAAAAGATGACCTCTTCCCTAATGAGCACAGGCACTGCAAACAGGCAGCTTCTTCCTCTTTGCTTTTATAGAATGGCCTGAATTGCAAGGGCCCACAATGCTCATCCAATTCCAACCCCCTGCTGTGTGCAGGTCACCAACCAGCAGCCCAGGCTGCCCAGAGCCACATCCAGCCTGGCCTTGAATGCCTGCAGGGATGGGGCATCCACAGCCTCCTTGGGCAACCTGTGCCAGTGCCTCACCACCCTCTGGGTGAAAAACTTCCTCTTAACATCGAACCTAAACCTCCCATCTCAGTTTAAAACCATTCCCCCTTGTCTTATCACTATCCACCCTCACAAACATTCTGCTTTCTCCCAGAAAAACATTCCCAGCTTCACCACTGGAATTGTGAAGGTGTTTGACAGGTTTCTTTCTGTGCTAACGTAATGCCTCTCACTGTTTCAGGTACCTGAACCACGTACGAGCCGCTTCTCCACAGGATCTTGCTGGGGGCTACACTTCTTCTCTTGCGTGCCACCGAGCCTTGCAGGATGCTTTCAGTGGTCTCTTCTGGTTCCCCAGTTAGCCAGCGTGCACCAGCTGCAATAAGGGGATGCTGGATGAGATGAGGAGCAAGTTAAGGCGGCAGAGGTTGGTAAAATTGCTGCCATTGCACAATGGCTGAGCTGCAGTCACTTCTCTGTGTAAAACCAGCTCTGTTTAAGTGCTAAAGGAAAAAAAGAAGACTGCACGAGGGCTTTGTAAAATGGTAGATACATTTTTGTGGAGTGGGAAGCTCGTTAGTCATGTGGCACTTTGCTGAGGGAGGCTGAAGCAATAAGCCACATCTAATGGAAGATGTGAATAACTCAGCTGTGTATGTTTGAGGTTTAAAAAAAAAATACACTTGTAAATTTCTTTAAATAAAGCCAGACTTTTTTATTAAAGTTCGTGGTTTAACTCTTATTGCAGGGTTTTATTTGCACAAGCATTTAAATGCCATTTTGATTATAACATTTAGTGTCAACATTCGAGCCTACGTTTTCTTCCCATAAAATTGGCTTCCCCAGTTCAGACAAGTGGGTTTTTCCTCCTGCCAGCGGGATGAGACGAGAAACACAGGAACTGTGCTGACACGACTCTTGTGTAGGATCCTTCCTGATGTCACTTGGTTGTTACCTTTGTCTGGAGAACAAGCAAAGTTTGAGCTGAAAGTCCTTCTGCTGTGTTCCTCTCAAGCGGTCAGGGAGACCTGAATATGCTGCCGGTTCCTCAAAGCAGTCACAGTGGGTTTTGTTTCCTTAGCTATGTTTGCACCTTCTGTGTCAAGTGTGCAGGAGCTTCTTTTGGCAGGAGCATCCTCCCTTTGGCTGTAGGGATGAACCTGGCCACTCGGTTTGCTGCTTTCGTGTATCCCTTCCCCTCGCTCAAGCTAATTGCAGCAGGAGCAGGGTGCTGTCTTGGGATGCTTTTTCCACGGATGTGTATAAATTGCAGAAGACTGGAAACCATTCAGGGCAATGTAGAGTAAAGCCTGGACCACGTTTTATAAGTCATCCCCAAATAGTTGTTGAATACTGCTCTGAGGAGCGTGCTGACTGAATGTATTTTTCTCTGAGTTGTAATAAAGAGAAGAATAAGCTCCGTTCCAGACTCGGCGCTTCCTTTATTAAGGACGGGGAGGGGGGTGCCAACATTTTCTCTTTAGTTCTGTTGTACTGTGCAGAGTGCTGTCAGCAGGTAACGCTGAGGTGCAGAAAGGCACAGCCTGCTGAGCGCTGCCTGCCCTGCAGAAGGGAGCGTTTGGGCCGGGAGCTGCAGCCCTCAGCTGTGCAGCGCCTGTTGGAAACCACTCGTACTCTTCTTGTAGTCTGGCCTTCTCAGCCTTCTGTCCCTGGAGGCCCTGCTTCCTTTCCTCTCATCTGTAAAGCCTAAAAGTTTACGTGGCCTTGATTTATCTGTTCCTCATCTCACGGCAGATGGCTGCCACTGCTCCCAGATCTGTTTGCTGGTTTCCCTGGCAGCCAGAAGCTCTGGCAGTTCCTTTGGGATTCAGCTCGGGCTCCTGGCAAGGAGAGGCAGCAGCCAGGGGCACTGTGCTGTTCCGTGCTCACCCGGACCCAAGATGCACCTTACTGCAGATCCAGTTTCCATTCACTCTGTACAGCCTCTTAACGTAGCGAATGCGGGACGTGTACTGATCTGTACCACGTAATTCAGCCACTTGGCTGCACGCTGGCTACATTTTGCTATTTAAATGTGCAAGGTTTATATGCAAAAGTTGTAGCTGCACGCAAACATGGAAAAAACCCTTAATTTTAAGCGCAGTTAAATGTAACCCATTCACCTGCACGTAAGCTCATTCTGCTATAGCATATAATCCTTACGTGAAAAAACCGCTGAGCACTAAAACCCTCCCTGCTCTGGGAAATTTTGGTCACGTACTGAAAATCAGTGTAATGTAGACAGCAAAAAGGTGATCAAACCCTTGTTTCTCTCACAGCAGCAGTGCCAAGAAGCCCCAAGCTGGCACTGCGAAGCAGCAGACACAAAGGGCTCTGCATTCTGTCAGCTACAGGTCATGGAGTTGGCTCAGCTCAGCGGGTGACTGCGTGGTGCCAGGGCGGTCAGCGCCCTCATCACCACCGTGGTGTTCATGGAGAGCTCTGAAAAACAACAGCAGCTTTGCGGTGTTTGTGAGAGATGCAAAGAGCAGCTGTAGGAGAGCGTGCTGTGATGTTAGAGGATGTATCAGCAGAGATAGCATCGCGGCCTGGAGGCAGGAGTGCAGCTCCTGCTCTGAGAGGAGCCATGGCTGGTAGGATGTGATGTGACTGACACTGACAGAAAGGACAAATAGGTTAAAGTCGCTGTGATACCATTTTAAGGCCAGTGGAGGAATGCTGGGGCTGGAGTGGCAGGCTGAGGAAGCAATCTGTACAGCAGCTTTCAGATAGCATGAGTGAGTCATCGTGTTTTTCCCCCCTAGTTTGATATACGCAATCTAGCAGTAACCAGGCTGTATAGCCAAGGGAAAAGGGCTGTAACAGAGCCACTGAGCAGGGAGAGCAGCAGGACATCAGGGTAAGGGAGGAGGGTGAGGGACATCTAGCAAGGGTTGCTATGAGTGAGCTTGGGCCGAAGGAAAGTATCTGAAACTGAGAGCGTGATGCGAGTTCTCTGCCCAAGTAAATTGTCTGTGGTTGACGTTGCCCAACAATAGTTTGGATAAGGAAGAAAAGGAAATTAAGGGCAATGCTTTTTTGAATCCCTGCAGAATACCAGCAGCCAGTCAGAGATCATCCAGAGGCTGCATCAGAGGTAGGGGGACAGCTTGGAGAAAGCACAAACAGAGAGGAGGAAGGCTCACGGTGAGAGGAGGACCCATCAGCTCCGTACAGGTTTCCAGTCTGCTGCTCTAAGGAAACGTGTACAAGTGTGCCGGTGGCATCAGAGTAGCTCCTAACCCCAACAATCTCCTAGTGGTAAAAAGCATTTATGACTCCAAAAGCCCAGGAGCTATACATGGCTACTGCTACCTCTCTGTTCCTTAGGTCAGCCTCTGAAGGGCTGCCTTGCTTACAGCAGAGCTGTCTGTGCATATGCTAAGAGTAATCCAATATTCCTACAGACCATTTATCAAAGAGAATCCCGGCCTGTGCTGTAGATGAGGGGTTACACAAATCATCCTGCTAGGTCCTACAACATACACAAATGTGTTCTCACTGCAAACTGTACTAAAGTAACACTGCAGCAGAGAACTGCCCCAGTCTGCGTCACCGAATCATGACAGGGTGTGAAATAGCAGAGTATGACAACACATTTTTGTACAAAAACAGTGAAGTTTTATTTCTTGCAGTAAGAAGAACAGTATCAATCTGGAAATTGATCCCACAATTAAAAAAAAATGAATGCAGGAAGCAGTGCTCAGAAAGGAAGGTTGCAGCACACTGTGTGCCTGAGGTGGGTAACAACTGAAGGGAAGGACTAGAGGTAACCTAAGCACACCTTATGCAAACTGATCAGGTCATGACCAGAGCTCTGGTTTTCAGCTCTCTATGTCTTCTTCAGTGGAATCCTTGCAGGCACGCAGGCGCTTAGGGGCTGGTTTTTCTAGAAGAAAGTTGGAAAAGTTCTTTAACATGCAGTGAACAGACAGAACTGAAGCACAAGCCACGCAATACACGGGATTGAACTAGAAGCTGTGAGCCCAAACACAAATGAAGACTGTTACAGCAATAAAGGGAGGTCTTTCCTTCACGGACTGCTGGAGAGGACTCTCAAAACACCTGTGCTGAGCTGCTTTTTGACCAACATCTCAGCACTGCACGTAACAGCATAAAAATGTTTCGTGGCAATAAAACCTTACTCAAACCTCCTTCCAGTTCATGTAACTGCAGATGGAAAGTTCCCCTATCCCAACTTGCCACGTTGTGCCAAGCTCAGTGTCACTGAACCTACTGGTTTCTACAAGAAACAAATGAGCAATTTGTTGGTCACCGAGGATATCTAAAGGCAAAAGCTCTGCTTTAGGGCTGTGGGATGATCCTATGCAGGCCGTGAAGGCTTCTGCTGGGATCAGAGGTTGCTGATGAAGCCCCGCAGCTGTGGCACACACACACTTGTGGCACAAGTGGCCCATGGACTGATGAGGTGGGACCAATCTCAAACAGCAGAAGAGCAGCCTGAAACCCACATGCCACTTACCTCCAGCAGGGCAGGGCCTCTTGTACAGCACGTCCACCGGGATCTGGAAAGTTATGCACAGCATCTCCTTGTTTGGAGCAACGTTTCTAACCAGGTAAGTAGAGCAGCGGCCCTCCAGGGAGGCTCCCAGCGCAGCCTCAGCCCGTTCCTGGATGTCTTTGGTTGGATTTTCGTGTTTGGAGAAACCATAGCAGTGCACGGTGGGGAGGACAGCAGCACTGCAGGGCTCTGCGACTAAGAGATGCCTGAAAGCATCCAGAAATTCAATAGCCAAAGCTGGCAAGTTCATGACGATGTGAAAAGCTGTTTTCTGCTCTTTTACAAGTGGGAGCTCTTTCCTTAGCTCTTCTCTCACCGGCCCCAAGAGGAAGTCCCTGCCATCCATGTTGAATGCTTTTATTCTGTTGTCTACTTTGTTTAGCTTGCAGTTGTGCAGCAGCCAGTTGTAGGATTCTGGGTTGAGATCATTTGCAAATACAGCACACCTCTTCTTTGCTGCTGGAATAGCAAAAGGTCCGATCCCAGCAAAGACATCAAAAAGGACATCGCCGGGCTGTAAGAGCTCAACGATACGGCCGTGTTCTGTGGAAAGACGGGGGTTCCAGTAGACTTTAGCAAAGTCCAGCTCATATGTGAAGTTATTTTCTTTGACCTGGAAGACAGAAACCTTTGGTTAAGTCTCCGTGTCTGAATTCCAGACACGTTAAAGCAAAATCAGTAATTAAGACAGCTAAAAAACAAAAGGTAATGTGCAGACTGACATTTGTCCCATTGATAGTGTATGTGCAACGTGTATAAACAGGTCTGCTCGTCATGAATAGCCATAAGGAATGTTTCAGCTGTCAATCCAGATGGCTCACTTATGCATTTCTTAATCACCAGGTGGATGTAAAGCAAGAGCTTAAAATGACCATACAAAATAAAATCTGAGGCTTTTCACGAGCTTTGTGGCTGTCTGACAACTCCATTATTGAAAGCAGAAGATGCCTCAAACCCTCCTTAGCACAGAGTCTACACAATAAATAAGTGTCTGAGAATGATACAGCCCGAGAATGGCAGCAGCCAGCCAAATCCAGAGCCACTGGGAGCCAGTTGTGCTGGCTGAAAAACGCTGCATTTTATCTCTCTTAAGGTGACAGAGACTGGAAACAGATCCAAGCCCAAACTTGAAGATGCCCCTTATCCTACCAACAGACCCAGAAACAAACTGTTTATTCAGACAGGAATGCAGTGCAATACAATGCTCTCTTCACACCACTACACTGAACTGTGTGGCTCTGAAGGAACTTATTCCAACTCACTGCGATGTTTACTTTGCCAACAAGAAACGTGCTGACGTGGATTGGCATCCCTTGGTGTGCACTCAGCTACACCAGATGTGCAATGAGCTAACACCATCTGCACAATATTTGCTTGTCACTTCTGACTTGACAGTTCAAATGCCTTCCCTGTGCAAGGGAGCGGCCTCACCGGTGTCTTTCCACCACAGCTCTCCAGTAGACGGCTTTGGGTTTTAGCACATGAAGTTTGAAGTAAGAGGGGAAAAGTCCTGTACCTTGGTTACCAGGTTGCTCTCTCCTGCAAGCACTTCCATTTGGAAATTTCTGTACGTGCTGTCAATAATATTGGTTTTATTCACCACACAGGTGATGCCTGGATTCTTGTCAACTATAACCTGGCCTGAAAAGAGGACAGGAGATATTCTGGTTAAGGAGCTACAACCTTAACGTTATATAAAAGATACAAACACTGCAGTGTACTTTCACGTTTATAAAAGCAAACACGTATTACAACAGCCCCCCCCAATGACTGCACAGTGCTGGATCTCACTGAAGCACACACTTAGCCCTGACCCAACACTCAGAGCAGTGAGACCACAGTTATTGTTCAAAGAGTTGTGTCTTCTGTGTACAGCTCAAGCATCAGCACAAAGCAATTTAATGACAAAATATCAAAGAACGGAGTTGTTGTCAGCCCTCTTTGTGCACGCGGTAGTTTTGGGCAGAATAATTGTACAAATATCTTTGGAAATGAAATCACTTCTTTGGTGAGAGCTGTTTACCTACCGATCAAATGTCTGTAAGGGAGCTGATGGTCCCTAAGATTCACGTGAGCGATGTGACCAACACGGCTAAAGCCAGAGGTGACATCTTGGCCTTCAGGAAGGACCGCTCGTAGGATCTCCTCTGACTTGAAATTCTCGTAAGTCAGCTCCAAATTGTACTTGGACACCTCAGGACTAATGTGAAGCTGTTTTAATACCTCTTTCTCTGACTCTCCCAATGAGAATTCCGGCACTTTATGAGGATCCAATATAACGAGTTTGCTGTCCTCATCTTCTGGATCCTCAACCACTCGTTTCAGCCCGGGTCGCTGCAGTACCGTCTGTTTTAGGGACTTCAGCAAAGTATGGACAATTTCCTTCTTGACTTTAAGAGCTGGAACAACGACTGTCCTTTTAAAAGCCTCTCTGTTGAGCAGCGTCATCCCACGCACTTGAGGATGCGGCGAGTACAGTCCTGGCTTCGTGTCATCCTGCACTGTTTCAGGCATTGTGAAAATTCTCCTCTTCTGATCTACTGCAAAGAGTGCAGGTATTCTGCCAGAACGCTGTGCCAATAGCATCCAAGCTGCTGGAGATGATGTATTTGATGCAGCTGGCCTATAATGATTAGTTTTCAGTAGTCTGGCAGAGTATCCAAATCCCCATAATATCCTAGAAGAGAAATCATTCATTTTATAGACATTATGTAACCATTCCATTAAAAAGGCTGCAAATCATATGGATTTGCTGTTCTCTTTAACTAGAATTTCCATGTGTACCAGGGAATCCACAACAGTTTTGCAAACCTCTTTATTATCAATTATACACGACAAATTTCTGTCCTTTTGCAAGCATGTTTTTAAACTTAACACATTGACTGACTTCAAGCAGTGAGATAAGCATCTCCTGCCAAAATACAACAGCCTCTCTCTATTCTAATAAATGCAATATTAATCCCAGTAAGCCAAATAAAAAGTTTCTACCGCCTTGATCCCACTGCCGGATCCCTTCTGCCTCTGATAAATGCATTACCAAGCAGTGGTTGCTAGAAAACAACTATTAGCAACACTGGTCACAGCTGCTCAGTAGGAATTCCTGCCTCCACATCCCAGCAGTACGGGTTGCACACAGCACTGCCTTTGCTCCATGAACCGCATCAACTGCCAGAAAGGCAAAGGATTAAATGGAGGATTCTCCTAGCATTACAGGGAAGCATTAGTAACGTCTGCTCGGATGGCTGAACCATCCTCCAGAGCTTCTCATAGGATGTGGACTTGAAAAGGAGCTCTTTGCTTCTTCAAGTGGTTTCCTCCACTAGAGACAGGCTGAGGGGTCTTGGCTGCTCCTAGACAGGAATGGATGGCAATCTGCCTTAAGGGTGGTGCCTGAGGAGAAGGCAGCCGTTCCACTGGCCTGCACACTATGAGCTGACAGTTGTGCCAGACGAGGTTCAGGTTGGATATTAGGAAAAATCTCTTTTCAGAGATTTCTCTTTTTCAGTGGTGATGAAGTGGCACAGCTGCCCAGGGAGCAGTGGGGTGCTGGAGCCCTGCTCCTGCCTTGCAGACCCCAGTGCTCCCACATCTCCACAACAGCTCATTTTCCTCATCCAAGTCTTTTGGCACCACACGGCTCCCTTCTCTGCTGACTCAAACACAAGCACCGCATTCTTTAGGTGCGCTCAGGTCGGTGCATCCCATCGTCTCCCTTCAGCTTTCCCCTTCTCTCCAGCTGAAGACCGCTGACCCAATTAGCATGGATCCTCCATTACCACGATTTAATATCCACCACACCAGGCCCATCTGGAAGCCATTACAGCAGCACCATCGCGAGAGGAACGACAGCATCGGCTCTGGGCAGGTCTGCCTTCCCGCAGCTGCCCCCGCGAGGCCTCTCCTCCCCTCCCACAGCCACGAGCGGAGCCGTGGGGATTCCTTCATACCGAACCGAGAGGAAAAAAGGACCTGGTAGGGGATACGGCCTCGGCTCCCCGAGAGGCACCGGGCTCAAAGCCCGCGGCCCCTCAGGCCGGACGGGAGCCTCCCCCCGCGGAGGGCCCGGGTCGCCCCGCACGCAGGCCGCGCGTTGCCATGGTTACCGCCCCCCTCCACTCCCGCCCTCACCTCATGCCGAACCCCTCCGCGCACGCCGGCACCCCGTGACGTCATCATTCCGCGTCGCTCCGAGCGCCGGGGGCGGGGTCTCGGCGTAAGCCACGCCCCCAACGCCACGCCCCCCTCCCTCGGCTACGCCCCGCTCCGCTCAGAGCCGCGGCGCTGCGCGGCCATGGAGGCGCCGCCGCGGGGGGCCCAGCGGGGCTGGTACCTGTCCGCCCGGCGGCAGCGGGACTGCAGCCAGGGGGAGGATGGCGACGGCGAAAGCGAGGAGGACGAGGAGACCGTCCCGCTGCTGCCGCCTGCGTCGGGCAGAGTGCGTGTGAGGGAGGGGGGCGGCGGGCGGGCACCTCGCGGGCACCTCGCGCTGAGCGCGCTTTCCCCGCAGGGCTCCTCGCAGCGCGGCTCCTCCTTCGGCCTCTCTGTGTTCAACCTCATGAACGCGATCATGGGCAGCGGCATCCTCGGCTTGTCCTACGCCATGGCCGGCACGGGAGTCCTGGGCTTCAGGTGAGGTCCGGCGGGCGAGGAGCGGCCGTGGAGTAGCGGGGGGAGCAGCGGGGTTGTGCTCACGGACCGGCGGGGTGCGGGCGCGGCGTGCGGGGCTCGGCTCACCTCGCTCGGCGCTGCCTCTGTGCTGTTCTCTTGTCTCGCTCCCGTGTGCGCACTGTGGAAGGAACGTGTGGCTCCTGAATGGAAGGCACGAAATAAGGAAATGCTGTCTTGTGATAAATGTTTTTTTTGTTTGTTTGTTTTTTTTTTTTTGCAAACGGAGCGTTTTTAAAGATAGAAAGCACGTTGTTGTGCGGGAGTTGCTCACGTGAATGCGTTGTGCTTCCAGCGCCCTGCTGCTGACGGTCGCCGGCCTCGCGGCTTACTCCGTGTTCCTGCTCCTCAGCATGTGCACGCAGACCGGTAAGTGAGGAGAGCTGTCCCACAGCCATCCCTCGTCTGGTCATAGAATGGCCTGGGTTGAGAAGGACCTCAGAGATCATCTAGATTCATCGAACAGTTCCCAATTGCCATTAAAAAGCCCCACAGATTCAAAACGTCTTATATGAAAAGTAAACACCGAACTGATTTACTGCCAATACTGCCTATCTGGCTTCTCATTTCCCTCAGAATGCACCTGGCATATTCCCAAGAAGATAGGTCGCCTATTTCCTCACCCAAATAATTTTGGTGTGAGCTAGACCGTGCTTTTTTGGTGTGTGGTTGTCTATATGCAGTCTCAGTGTTGCTCTCAGTAAGCAGCCAACTGCCTTTATTCTAACTGTAATACGTTTATCCACTGTTTGAAGTGAATACTGGTCAGATTTTGTTATAATACAGGCTTCACAGATGTGTGTTTTCACAACATTTCTGATACTGGGTGAGAAATGCAGTCCTTACTTAGAAATTGCACTGCTTTGAGAATGTCCAAACAGGAGATCCTAACATTTGAGTTCTAGTCTGCTGCTAATATTTTAATTCTTGCTTGTTTTATTTGTTACTGAATGCCTGGCTGCTTCCTTGAGTTCCAGCACACAAAGGCCTTGTCTCAGTGGGAAGCCTCCATCTCTTCCAGGAACCTGGTTATTGTTTCCATCTCATCTCTTTTCCCCTCTTTTCAAAGGTGATGGGGGAAAGCTGCATTCCATTCCTTACAGGCTGTGCTTTCTGTAGCTAGCTTTGGGCTCTTTCTGATCTTTGCTTCTTGACTCTCCTTAGATCTGCTGCTCCTGTCTTCACCTACTGAGTGATCTGCCTCATGCGCTCCTTAAAAATCTTCTTCAGAGGTAGGGCTACATCTGTGTGTAATATTGGCTGCTCAATGACTTGTGACTCACTGCCATTCTTTTTTCTTTCTGAAGCTTTGCTTCTTAGAGAGGAATCAGAACCTGGGATAAATAGCTAGAAAGATACATAGTAAAAGAAAAAAAGATTGAGGTAAGGGGTGAATCTTGGTGATGTTTGCTCACTTCTTAAGTTCTGTATTATACAGGCACTGGATGGTGTTGTGTTGTTATCTGGTAAAATAATAGGAAGATATCCTTGCAGAGAACTGCTGGGGGTGAAAGAGGGAGGGAGGAAACTGAATATGGAGACCTAATACACACATCAGCATAGTTTAACTCCTCACTTATTTATTGTCAAAGGCAACACATCACCTCCTGGATGCATTTTGGAAATGCAAACAGCCAAAAGCAAGGAGTAGCCCTAAATGATGGGGTGAAGGTACTCCCCTAGTCTGAAATGAGCACTGTGTGGTCAGTAAGTAGTTAGCACCTAGTGCTGATGGGCATCCCAGCTCTGGAGCTATGCTCAGGTGTCTCTGCTGCATTTTTGGTTGCTGTTTTAAGGGGTGATGGTGGTGATCTTTATCGGCTGTAGGTCCTGTGAACTACTGAAGTAAGTTGACATTAAATAGCATCCCAGGCTTTTCCTCAGAATATCCACTTCAAAAAGGGAGATGTGTGACCAGTTGTGCCTTTCCAAAGTGAAATTTGTGTGAATAGTTCTTATGTTAAAGTAGATTGAACGTTAAGCATGCGTTCATCTGTGAACGGTGTTACAGTATTAATCTGTGGCGAGGAACGGGAAAGTAATGTTAGTAGTTTTATACTGAAAAAGGTGAGCTAGGAAAGTGTGAAGGGGAAAGGGTAAAGAAAAGCCTTATGGGACTGTTGGAAAACTGTTCGCTCAGGTATTTAAATCATAAAAGTAATCCTAGGAAAGAGCCAACATATAAAACCCCTTCTGAAAAGGAAGCTTTAATATTAATTCTGTTTCAAACGGAGCAGCATTTAAGTTGTAGTTTGAAAACAAAGAAGTGCCTTGAGTTTGTAAGTGATGTTGGTGTGCGGTGGCTTTGTCCAGGTCAAATGATTTGTGAGGCCAAATGACTTAGAAAACAAACAGTGCTGTGTGTTGGGGTTGGGTTGGACAGGGTTTCCTCCTGGTGTTAATTCAGTGCTACAAAAGCTGTTTCAGGGCTTAGGGTGGCAAAATGCTGTAAGTGGAGGAATGAGGAATTTAAGGGGGATGTTCCTGGAGCTTCATGGCTTTTTGCTTTTTTCCATTTGGAGCTGCTCACGAGGATTGCCTGTGCTTTTCTCACCAGTTTGACTTTGGGGTGAAATGATTTCCATTAGTAATGCACAAGAAACGAACCCAGGCAGGCAGAATGCATTTCTGGCAGTAGTGCTGGATATTTTGTTCCATATATTTTTTTTGAAAGTACCAAAGTAATGTGATTAAATATTAACGCTCCCTCAGTGTTCGCAGGACTAAACTCATTAAATAACCAGAATGGCTACAAAAACTCTTTCAAGGCTTTGTGTTGCCGGTTTGGAGTTCTGTGGAAGACGTTTTTTCTTGGTAATTCCCTGTTTGTGTGTGTTGGGTATTTGTTCCCATGTGGTACGAGCAGCTCTCAGACATACTAAACACTGGCCTTCGAAAATGCTATTTATCTGCTGCTAACTGCTTTGTAAATGTAGATCGAAGAAAAATAGAGGGTAAAATCTAGTAACAGACAATGAAATGTATTGAATATTTAATATGGCAGCCCTGGTACGGAGCTGCCTCCTCCCCCAGGCCTCGCTGAGAAAGGAAAAAGCAGCAGGAAGAGCAGCTGTAGTCCACCAAGTGGAACCAAGGAAGGGGAGGCGAGAGTTGCATCAAGAGAGCTGTGTGCTTTGGAGGTTAATTTTACCCTCAGAGGCATTTACAGCTCTGGGCTGTTCTCTGGAGTTTTCATCCTTTTGGTATCGCTAGAGCTTCTAATGGCAGAATGGAGAGCAACTGTGGAAGACTTTAATATGATTTCCTCCTTTCTGAGAAGGGATTGTTCTGAGTTGTTTTGAGTATTAGAGGTGAGCTTCGGCTGCTCAGGAAACCGCAGGCTGTTGTGGTGTGATGAGTTGGGAAGGTGCGAGTAAGGGCAGGCTGCTTGCTTTGCTTTTGCCTCTGCTTTGGCTTGGTTTTGTTTGTTGCCGTCTGCTTTTTGTACCAGATTGCAGCCCAAGAAGGTGTTTACCTTCAGCAGTGTTGGAAGCTGTGTTTTTGAAAGCTGCCACAATAGTGATTGATTGGTGTTTATGTTTGGGGAAAGATGAAGGCACGTTTCTCTTATTGTCTTCACTTAAAAACAAGCATACACTTAAGAAATAAAATCTAGAAATAGCTTGCCTCTAATTCTTGAGACTAATAGCAAAATTCTTCATCAGTAGTGTTGCATGCAAAACTCTTTGGGAAAAGGCAGCCAGTTCCCAGTGTAGTACTTTTATTTTTTATACGGCTATTTTTAATGTTACATTGAATTCCTGGTGAGTCTGAATGGTTGGGCAGATATTTAGGAGCAAGAATACAAGTATATCCTAATGCTATTTTATAAGTGGGCTGTATTATAAAATAGTCTCTTAATTGGGTCCTGAGCTGCGCTCATTTTAAAAGGAGAAAAAAAAAAAAAAAGGAAAAGGCAAAGCTGGAGCTCTTGGGTGATTTTTGCAGTTAGGAATATTTTAGCTTTTTTATTTCTTTCTTATCGACAGCTGTCACTTCCTACGAGGACCTCGGCCTGTTTGCATTTGGATCAGCTGGAAAGGCAAGTGTTTGTCGGTGCCTGTGTGTTTCTTGTTCTCCTGCTTCTGATACACAGCTGTTAACTGCATAGTAAGGATATATGGATGCAATCTGTGTGATTGGTGAAGTTCTGATATTGTTAAAAATAAATAAAAAAAATAACACAGTTCCCAAAAGCCAACTTTCTCCTCCCTTTCAGCCAGTGTTGTGCTAGCTGTGTAACAGGCACTTCTTGCATACAAGTTTTTGTGCTCCTTTCCTGCCAGCGTGTCCCTCCTACTGTATTTCCCAGTGTCTGCTCGCTGGCTTTGCACTCAGGTCAGCTGAGCCATCCGTTCCAGGTTGGTTTCAGTCCCATTGCACCGTTGCTGTGAGCTGTTAAGAGACACCTGGGTGATTTACTGCTGCTCTTGGAGGTTCTCGTAGAGCTCGGCGGTGTTTGCCTTTCATGCAGTTTCTACAACATATATAAACAGGGATGTATCATGAATGCTAATTTTTTGATGTAAGCATACTGGGCACGTAAGTTGTGCTGTTTTAGTAATGGGAATTGTATCTGTTTTTCTTGATGGACAGTGTTGACCAGTAACACGAAATACTAACGGTAAGTACTGTGCATATAATACTGTGACTCTGTGCTCTGTTTCATTTAAGTGATTCTAAAAGCAGGTTTGACCACATCACTGCAATTTCAATAGCTTTCTGAAAACCAACTCCTTCAGTGAGTTCTGCTTAGCGGACTGGAGTCTCACTTCTGTTTTCATATGAGAATCAAAACTGAGCTATTAGGTATAAGCTGCCATTAGCATTAATGAGCAGATAATGAGTGCAGTGTGTGAGATCAATATCTATTGAGCAGAGTGAAGATGTGATCGCCCCCAGCAGATGATTTCATACCATTCTAATATTAAGATATATCATCCTATTTTCCTGAGAGGGGCTGTGGGTACGTTAACCACAAGCCATTAGGTGCAGCAGCCATAGAAACACAGGGCGTAAGGGGATATTAAGATGTGACCAATTTTAATTTTTATTTTTTTTTTCCCCTCTTCTCTGTAGCACAGGGAAGCAATTCATGGCAAATATCTGATTTGTTATTTAGTGGATATTCCATGTTATCCAGTGAAGGAGGTATCACAGCTTTACTGTGGTGATTTGTATTATCCTCCCCAAATGTAACTGTTCTGTAGTTTACTATTTTAAGTCACTTCCTCTGCTAAAAATCATGGCTTTTCAGTGTGTATGGATTGAGGTACATCCCAGCCACAGACCCAGGTTGGGAAGCTGTTTGGATTAAGCAGAAAGCCGGAGGTCACCAAGCCTTCCTAGAGGAACCCATGTTTTTCTGCAGCGCTGACCTTTGCCTGTGGAAGTATCTGTGCTGTTCGTACACCTTGATCAAACAATGGAGTGCAGGACGCTGGCTGAGAGCTTGCCAGGGATAAACAAGGTTTGCCATTGCTGTGGCTGCCACTAATTGTTTTATCTCAGGCTCTTTTCTCCATTTGCAGTCTAATAACTGTGAACCCTACATTTGATCTCTGCTTCCTGAATGCATTGCTTTTAACTGATGCTATTGATTTTTAGACTATCCTCATTTCTCACGGTCATTTTGAATTCCAGTGTTCTCCCTGAGCTTCTCTCCGCTTGGTCAGGCACAGATTGCAGTTTTTGCTTCTTTTGGTTTCTTTGTATGTTAAGATGTGCTCATTCTTCCCTCATCCAAGCCATCCACTACTGATAGAGCATTGTAGGACGATGCTTGAACTCCGGGCTGATAGTGAACTGCTGGTAACTGCTCCTGGGGTAAAGCAGCTCTTCACCCATACAGTGATCTCATGCTGAGAACACTGGTGTGATTTGTGAGGCTAGGGATCAGCAGATGGAAGCTTGCTGACTCTCCCTCTCCAAAGGCACGGCGCGTTTCTTTCCATCGGTGACAAATGGCAATGCGCTGACATTCAGCTCATTACAGGTCTGCTGTGCTTTTCTAACTGATCGACTGGGAAAAACGGCAACTCTGCTTCCAGAACTTATTTGAAAATACAAATTTGGTTTTCTTCCACAATTGTGGTTTGATTTTATTTTTTTTCAACGTATTTTCCAGGCCGAGTTCTGGTAGTAGAAAGGCGCTGCTATGTAATGATGCGTGGCACGAATGACCGTGCTGTGTAGGTGAGGGCACTGTTTTAGATCTGAGCTGAAGCTAAAACAGTGGGAAAGCTTCACACACGGCTGCTCGGGTTTTGTCAATTGGAAGTTAGCAACTGTTTAGATTCAGTCGACTATTTGTTTGCCCTATGATTATCTCTATATTCTCTATTAGTCCAATGTGAGTAATAGCAATCACAAAAAGAAATGTCTGTCTAGTTTATAGGCATAAAAAAACTTGTGACTATTAATATTCATAGTTACATAGAGTGAGGAATAGTTTGCGTAGATCATCTCTGCTGTCTGAGTGCCTTTTCAGAGGCAAAGGATGATTTCCCTTTCTACCTACCTGACATCGATTGGGAAGCACTTACTTTCTCTATGATCTGCAAAACAAAGCTTTGCCCTTTAACTACTCTTGTTTTGTCATCTCAGAATGAAAATGCTTTTTTTGCTTTTTTTTTTTTTTTTTTTTTTTTTTTTCTTCAGGGATTGCTTTGCTTTTATATTCATTTGAGGTTCGTTTCCATGTGTTGAACTTTTGGTGAAGCAGAAGATGCCTTTCCTTTCAGTACTGGTTGCTGCTTTTGCATCTGGTCTGTTTAAGATTATGCGTATTTGTTTTTATGACCGTTACAGGCATACGACTCCAGTTATCCTTACCCTTTCTAAAGAAATCAATTTTTTTTTTATAGGTCCTTGTTGCAACTACAATAATTATCCAGAATATAGGAGGTAAGAAACTTCATACGCTCGATTTTAACTGAGTGGGGTCTAATCTCTACAGTCCACAAAACTCCAGAAATGCCGAAGGCAGTAATGAAATGAAAGCGTTCTTAAGGTTGTGATTAAAAAGATGTAAGATCTGTGTGATCACACAGAGCTGAAGTGCTGTGGCCATGGGGTAGGTGGGTGCTTCCTGGGGGGCAGATCGTATGCCTGCTCTGCATCCCATGGTGTGGAGGACATCCATCAGTTGGCACTGCTGGCTGGAAGGGGGCTGCAGAACTGTCATCTCCCCCCTGCTCTTCTGGACATTTGTATCTTGGAAGCTGTATTTTTTTTTTTTCCACATTGTGTGTTCTCGTGGTTTTTGTTTTTCCTTTGGAACTTGCTGACCCATTTTAGTGATACGTGTAACAATGGAAAGCTCAGCTGTGACATTCCAAATGTGCTATATTGTGATAGGTTTTTCTTTGTTGGTTACCTTGGACTCAAATATTTTCAGTATCTTTCTTTTTCCTTATGTGTAACAATAAAATAACACGAGCTGTCTTTGCATTAAAATAATCACCTAAGCACTTCTGCTCTATTCAGGTACGTTTACATACTGGAGTTACAGAGTAGTAGAGTCCTTAGAAGTAAATAATCCAAAAGCCAACAGTGTTTAACAGAACTATTTTTATTTTCTTTGGCTGATTCCTTTGAATGTTTTGGATTCTTTCATTTAGATGAGGAAACAGTGTGAAGGTTCCCTCCTTCCCATTCTCTCCTACGCCCTCAAGACACACATGATTACCTGCAGTGCCAGGAGGAAACAGCATTCCAGTTTTGTTCTTCTTCCCTTTAGTTATCATCTGTCAAGTCCAGACAATTCAGTGATCTCTTGTTACTACGTTGTGGCCTGGTGCTAGACCAACTAACTGCTTGTAGGATAACATCAGAATCTTTTGTTACGCTGGAAGCTCCTGTAATAAAAACTGCTTGACTTCAGCAGCTATTGAAACCCCTTGCATTAGCTTTAGACAGGAGCGAACATTTTAATTGCAAAATTAAGGATTATTTATTCACATGGGTTGTAGAGAATGTTCTGTAGCAGTGAACAAATGTTTTAATTTCCTTTCCCGTTCGAGTGGACCTCTTAATAAAGAGTACTGGGTGAGGGGGGGTATGCAGTGCAGGTTCTGGAGATCTGGGATAACGCACAGGGCTCTGTGGTCAAAGGAAATAAGGCTCTCATTTCTTCCTCCTAGCAGTTCATAACTTTCTCTGTGTCATTTTTAATAAAATTCACTTTGGTAACTCTAGAGGCCTGCGCTGGATACGAGCAGTGCTTGTTCTGTCCTTTGCAGTGGGCCTCTCTGCCAGCAAGTGGGGCCTGCTTTGCCAAGCACTGCTTTTCTGTTCAGCTGGTCGAGGGGGAGGATTCTGCAGGTAGGAAATTCTCTTGGATGTATTCGAGCGCCCTCATTTTGATGGCAGTGTTCAGAACTCTCTCGATGCTTCTGTTTCCAGTGCCAGTATTTTTCTTGTTAGAGTGGCAGCGTTTTGTGGATCCTCAGCTCTTGTTTGCAAAGATTCCAAGGAGCTCAGTTTCAATACTGAAAGAAAGCAAGCTGGCTTTTGTTTTCTGAGCTAGTTGAGGTAGGTAAAACGAAGCCGTGCCCCAGACTTTGAGGAAGCACGCTTGTGGAACTGTGGGTTTTCACACACAGCTTTGGCACCTTCCTCCACACAGAATACGTGTTGTGCTGTCACTGTGCTATCAGTGTGAGGAGCTGCCTCACATCCTGTGTAGCATTTGCACTTCTGTACTGTTTCTCTCTTCAAAAAATGTCTTCTGTGCTTTGGGACAGCCCGGGTTAGGGATGAAGGGCTTTCTGCATCTCTCACTGAGCCTGGCTGCTTGAAGAAAGAAAGGCAAATCTCTTGTCTTTCTGGCTCCGATGTATTTTAAATGGGAGTGATGAAACTGTGTTTGCCCTGAAGTGGAGCCGTGCTGCAATGAAGGCTAAAGCTTCGGTTCTGCCCTTTTACCTCTGTGCAATGAGGTGTTCCCCTCCTTTTGTTTTATGGCTGTTTGAAGGAAGCACTGTGTCTGGTGGGCAGAATTCCAGCCTCTGTCAACAGCTTTAACTCCAGAATAAGGCTAAAAATAAACATTGTTTTCTGCTACCTCCTCCATCATCAGACCTGGGTACATTGCATCATGTGGGATCTGATTTCAAAGGTGATTGGGGAGCTCTAGATAATGAATAATGATTTGCGATTAAAATAAGCGACTGCGCTGGGCTTACTGTCACTCACTGCATTTTTAAAGTCGGTTTGATCACGTCTAAAAGTAATTGAAGCTCGGAAGTGATTTACATTCATTTGTGGGAGAGAAAGCTTTTAGCAAGCATTTAAATACAGCTAGGCTTTCTCATTTGTCATCTTTGCTCGTTTAGAAAGAGAGCCTGAATTGCAGATTTGCATTTGACATCCTAATTGCCCAAGCTGAACGACTGCGGAGCTGATTTTTCTCCTAGTGGATGCCCCGAGGCGAAAGGCACGGGTTGGTTCTGTAGAGCCGCGGGAAAACTGTCGTTGTCGAAATGCAGAGGCGTTCGTAAAGGTCCCTTCCAACACAAACCATCTCCAGGTCTGTAAGTGGAGCAGTTTCCCAAACGCACATCTCTTGCCGTGCGGAGGATTGTAGAACTAGAGAATATCCCAGGCTGGAAGGGCTTCGCTTATCCGGAGCGGCTCAGCTCCCGGGCGCCGCGCGGGGCTGCGGGCCGCCTGGGGGACAGCGGCGGCGGCTGAGGGCTGCTCCGACAGCGCCACCTGCTGGCCGCCCCGCGCTGCTGCCCCGGGGCCGCTTTTTCCCGCCTTTCCCCCCTTCTTTTTCCCCCCCTTTCCCCTGTGTGAGGAATACGCGTGCTCCCTTTCATTACACGTCTCACAACAAAGCGAAACAAGGAGCTTGTTTTACAAAGAGAATACAGCATTCTTTTTCCTTCCACTCAGGGTTCCTCAATTCTGAAGTTCAATTATAAATGTATTTCACAAAATTTGTCTATGAGGTAGTAAACGTTTTGAGAAAAACAAGAGAGAAGATGGAAACCCTTATTTTTCTAACCAGAGTCCAGTACTCTACGGAGTTTGAAAATAAATAAACAGTGCAAATCGTGGAAGAAAGAAGCACGCCTTGTCACACGCTGAGAACTGCACTGCTGGTACCTTAAGAAACCACTGAGCTGCCGTTAAGGATGGAAAGCCTCGTTCTGTTTTCAAGCAAACTCAAATGTTTGTTTTCACAGCGCAGTTTGCTTTTGACCTGACAGCCTGATTACCTTCATTGTTTCTCAGTGAGGATTTCCAGTGCCCTAATTAAGGGCAGGTTTGTGTGCTCCTGTGCTGGTTTCACAATGGATGACCGTGCTGTTTTCCCATTGCAGTTAGTGGTTGTTGGGAAGGTTTACGCTGCAGGGGATGCTCACCTTGCTTCAGAAACAAAACAGCAGAACTCCTCACCTGCAGCTGTGCTTTGGAACATGAATAGGAAAGCACTGCAGTTCTATTAGCGTAAGTGCAATTAAACTAATGACATCTTAGTAAAAGAAATCTGCTGCCTGTGTGTCCCCAGTGAAATAAGAGGGAAATAAGATGCAGCTCGCTTTGGCTTAAGTGTGCTGTGAAATAGGATTTATTCTGTTATTTCTGTCTTTCAGCCTCGGATCTTTTCAGTATTTTGGGAAAAACAGGGATCTTATTAATGGAACACTTCAGAGGATTAAGAGTTGCAAGCATCTTCATTAATCTCAATCATCTCATGGCACTTGGGAGGAATCTCTCTGTCTCACCTAGATGAGAACAGGAATTGCTCTGCTTGTCCCTGGTTCCCAAACCAGTGTAGCTCTTTTTCAGTAGAAGCTGCAGGGCCGATGCTTTTGTGTGGATAACAGCCATTTTCACAGCCTGCCTCTCCTGCTCAGGGAGATTGCAGCCTGGTTCCATTTTTGCTCAGCCCTTAATGGTGTGAGATGTCTTTATAGTGAGATGTCTATATAGATCTAATGTGATCAGCCACAGGTAGGTTAGGAAGACTGATCAGGAGATTTAGAATCCTTCCCTTGAGTGAAATTACATGGAGGACTCTATCACCAGCCATTTTCTAAGGAAGGAATGAATCTTATGTTTGTGCATAAGTTTAATGTATATATATTCTCTTGCATTGTTACTGTGGACTTCAGCAGCTCATCGTTTTTTGATAGGACAGTAAGGAAACATCACAGATACATTTCTGGTCACTAAAACACCAGTCACGTGTGGGCTGCCTCTAAAGAGGGGTTTGGGAACTAACTTAAAAACAACCTCTCACTAGCAATTAATGTTTCGTTCAGGTAGGGGCCCATGTGCTGAGTGTGAAGCAGTATTATAGCACACTGAGGGTATTTTGAATAATAATTTTGAATAATATCTTCATGGTACATAGTTATACAGCTCAGCAGGTTGTAATGTTCTGCTGGGGGTGAGCGGGTGTTTCACCCTAAGCAAAGAGAGATAATGTAATGATGTATTAATGAAAGTGTAATACAAGTATGCTTTTCTGTATGACAAACTTTTTTTCATCAAAGTCAATGCCAAATTTCAGAATGTGACAAAGTCATATATGTATTATTTTAAGAATGTAATTTATTGCTGCTTCCAAGGTGGTGCTAAGTCTATTGAATGACAAAGTAGTAATTCTGATTCCTGCTGAATGCTGTTTTAGTATCGGAATATCGATTTTCCTGAATACAGAACTTCAGACTCAGTTTCCATCCAATAGCTCCTGGTGCATATTGAAAGTTATTGTAAGGTAGCATTGATGCTGCAATAGTAGCTAAAAATGAAGAAGTGACCAAATTGAGGTTGCTCCAGTGATGGGTATCAGCACCTGCGTGCTGCCAAAGCCTCAGGTTACAGCACTGAACGCCCTTTGTTTTGCAGGAGGCCTGCCTCACCCAATGCTCAGACAGATGGCTCATTCTGCAAAGAGGTGATAGAAGGAAAACAGGCTGCTGGCTTTGAATTCTGGGGATGAAATGAGGTGCAGGAGCAGTAAGTTCTGCTCTTGTACCACGTGTGTGAAAGGGGGACAAGCTGAAGGGAATGTTATTGCTGATAGGTTTGAATGCTTGAATCCTAAGGACTAATGTAGACCTACCAGGCTTTTTATATGATAAAAGGTGCCTTAAAAGTTAATCTTTAAAACATTACTCTTATTTTGCAAGTGACAGGATGCAAGTATTGCCAGAGTGGAATAAACCAGAGCCCGAGGTATGCTTCGTGTTGTGCTCACTTGTGGCACAGTGTAGCCATGTGACTCTGGCATCTCTTCCTTTTGCTTTATATCCCACTACCAAGGGTGGCTGACATTCAGATTTTCCAGTACTATTTGGCATTGCTCTTCATTGTTGGCATCAGGAAAGTTAAGTAAAACGTCACGTTTGGATCAAAAGATGAGCAACTCTTCCTCAGCCACACCACGTGCCCTTTATTTCTAGCTAAGGTAACTTCAGCTTTGAGAAACAGTCTTCTGCACTCAGTTTGTAGTGGAGCGTGTCATTTGTAATGTCTCATCTGTTCAGAGTCACTTATGCAGAATTTGTAGAATGTGATACAGCAGTTTCTATCTTTTACTTCTGTCGTGCTGGGTAAAACTTGAAGGAGCTGCAGCTTGTGAGAAGCATGAGCTGCACTGCAGCTACATTTGTAAACTACAAAAAAGTTTACTAAAAGCAAGCAGGATTTGTTCTGTTAAACTGTATTATGTGAGGGTGTCCTGCTCAGGTTTATTTAAGAGATTCATGTTGTATCTGAGCAGCAGGATGTAAATAAAATTGTTATTTATTTTCTCCATCTTATAGAACAAACAGGAGGAGATAAACTGGCAAAAAAAAAAAAAAAAAAAAAAAAAAAGTCCTGCCCCATGAGGTTGTTTCTCATATGCACAAGGAAAGGAAGAGAGATGGAGACAAATGTTCAGCATGTGCAAGACTCGTGGTGCATGATTGGTTCCCAACTCCAGAGTGGAATCCAGTGAAATTGGACTCCTCTTTAAAAAACAAAGAGTGAGTGCACAACAAAGGATAAGTGATCAAATGATTAGCCAGAGGCTAATAGGAATGTGAGGGAAGAGTGACAGATTGCATGGTAGGAGGAAATCTGATCTGGAAGTTGAAGCTTTCTGCAGCTGAGCTGCAAAAGAACTAATTTTGAAACCTTTCTGAAGTGCATAAATATATCAAGATTCCAAATTGCTTGTGTACAAAGCATTGTGCAATGCAAGAAAGGAGGCTAATGGGTAAATAAATTTAATTATACTTTAGAGGAAGTTTTCTTTTTTCACCTCCTGATTTTTTTGACCATCTCTCTTTGCTTAGGGTGAAACACCCGCTCACCCCCAGCTTAGTGTTAATTTTCTTACAAATTCTGGTGATTTAGAAATGCACACGCTGTAAAGATCTTTGTGATCTTTGCAGACAGGAGAGTAATGGCAATGGATAACACACCTGGCCTGATGTAAACAACAGCTACACGTCAACAGGGAAATACAGTCAAATCCTAAAAAAATCAGAGCTCTTAATGACGAAGAAGCGAATATTCCCTCATTTAGTGATCCACCAACTGTTTTTAATTTAACCTTGCGGTAGGTAGATGTCACTTTGCATTAATGCAATTTGCTTTCTTTATGGAGACCACATTCCCCTTCTTCAGATTTAACACTGGCTGCTGCAGTACAGCAGTGTCAGAGTCCACATTTTTCACATCCACTCTTAACTCGGCGTATGGATGGAAGTTTGCTGTCATACATTTTTCAAACAAATATTATTTCTGGAGGACATCAGAAAAGGAAGCACGGTGTTCTGAACTACAAAACACAGGTCAGTAAGATTTGAATGCAACAGATGAATTTTCATCAAGCTTTGGACACGACTGAAGGCGTTTGCAGGCACGGTGGTGACATCACTTGGACAGATGGCAGTCAGCTCCCAGCAGGCTGTGATGTTTGCTGGAGCTCTTTGTAATGCCTGATGTTACGAGTAATTCTCTCTTGGTTTCTGGGTTGTACAAACGTTTGCTGTTTGTGTGAAAGCAAAAAGTGACAGCAGCAATATGTGAAGGTATCAGGGTAATAGAAATTGTGAGGAAAAAATGTAAGAACTCCTCTGTATTGGCACCTTTTTTTCTGATTACTTATGCCTTTGATCATTTCGCCGAGCAAAGCAGAAAAATGGCACCGTGAAGTAGTGCTTGGATTTATTTGTATGCATCATTACTTTCTGATGAATACAAATATAAATGCTCTATTTCAAATCATCACTCCCGCAGGATTAACTAACACTTTCTCTTCGGATTTGTAGTTCTTGTAAATACAGACATGCAGTATATAAAGAGCCTTTCAAGTCCCATTCTTGTGCTTAGATTTGCAGTGCATTTACTTAGTGCAGCGACAATTGAACAACAACAAATACAGAGTATTTTAAAAAGATCTGTTGTATTGATAGAAGCAAATGTCAGGAGTTACTCTCATCTTCATCAACAACATCTACTGCAGAGCTGGGAAGAAGTGCTGCAGCCCCAGTCTGTGCAGATCTTTGTTGCCAGGTAAAGAAAGGGTCAGCCTGCTGCTCAGTATTGTTTTGTTAGCCCTTTGGATGATGTTTTCCTTGCTTCAAGACTCACGTCATAACAGCCTCTCTGGAAGCATTAGCCAGCATCAGCACGGTACTCGGGGATTTGCAGCTATTTTTAAAGGAAGCATATGAGAAAATAAATGTTGATTCTGGTGCCACGGTGTCTAATATACAGCTGAGATGTCCCAGTCATAACTGTGCTGGTTAAGCCACGCTGGTTGGTACAGTACTGCTATTCCTCTGCTAAATCTGCTCTGCTTCTGTTTGCAGCTATGTCATCTTATCTGTTAATTGTGAAGTCTGAGCTTCCTGGTGCTGTTGCAGGGTTCTTAAGTGGAGATGAGAGCGGGTGAGTAAAAATGCTGCAAGCATTGTGAATTTATCTTGAAAAAGAAAGCAGCTCAGGACTGCTGGAGGAGATGGGTACTGACACTGCCTTCTGATCTCACGTGCTAAAAAAATGACTTATTTACAGGCATTCTTGGAATATGAAATATTTGGCATCTGTAAACCTTCTGCAGCGCACACAGAGCGTGATTCTTTCCCATCAGACAACCTTAAAGTTGGTGGCAGAGCTCCATTCAAAGAAATCTGTAAAAATTTGAAAGGGAAAGCAGGAAGGAATGGGAGGGAGGGGAGGAGAAACATTTAAACTGCTGTCATGTTATCACTTAAAATATTTCAAGACCACAGTATGAAATCTGGCAGACATTTAAATTTAAATATTTTGTTGTCTTGCTCCAGTAATTGGACTTGTCTTGGGAAAAAGGCCAGGTTTCCAGGCTTGGTTTATAATTCCATAACTTGGCTGCCAGTAAAGAAATTATTCTTCACATCTGAGCTATAAAGCTGGATGTAATGTGTGTCTCTCAGATTCCTATTAGAGCTGTCACAAGGAATCTGTGCCTGCCCTGGGGCAAACGCTGCAGCTTCAGTGCTGAAATCTCTTGTTCAGGCTGTTGCAGTGCTGCTGTCGTTCCTGATGGTGTATCTCACACTGTTACTGCAATTTTTCCAAGCTGATTTTCTTTTTAGGTGTTTTGAGCTCAAGCTGGATTGAAGACAGTGTAGTTTTCTCAAGGCTGTGTGATGCTTCTGGTATACTTTCTAAGTCGAAATTGGTTTTTAAAAAGGCACTTTAGTTTAAGTCCTATTTTTTCTTTTTGCTTCAATTGTATAACATGTGCTTTGAGAAACGGTGTGGTGCTAACCTCACTTTCTGTCTTCCTGCCCTCCTTTTGCCTTCACGATAATGCATATTTAGTAAGGGCCTAATAATAAACAATTATGTTTTATGTGCATGTCATTTTTGATCGGTTAGTGCAACTTTTCCAGCTGTGATAATCATCAGCTTTTCATTTGGGCTTTATTGCCCTCTCCTTCCAAATTGTGCTTTCAGCTCTCCTGTCCCATACAGAGTGCTGTTGAATCTGCTGCTCTATCTGCTCCAATCTGTTCATTGCCGTTGTTTGCATGTAGCTTCACTTATGCTGTTTTTTTTTTTTTTCTTAATTTGATGCCAGCTCTGTTTATGCAAACGGATTTTTCCCAACAAAGACACAGTTTTAAGCAGCTTATGAGCACTTCTAATAGGTAGAATTGAAAGTGCCCTACGCATGCATATGTACATACATATGAAAGATTGTTCTGTCTAAAGAAGACAGTATAAACAACAGATGTATTAAGCAGATGATGCTTTTTATCAAAGGTCCTTGTGCAGATCTTCAGCTAGTGAGCAAGCAAACAGGTTACAGTGGCTGAACCAGTTACTATAAGTGGGCTGAGCCACAGCAGTTCTCATTGCACTGTGTGCCACCCATACTTTTTGCTCAGCCGGAATTGCACGGTGGGAATGAAGTTCAATTTTGCCTTTGGAAGGAGCTGAAATGGTCTGCTGCAATGCCAGCCGCAGCTCAAGCGGTTCATTTTCAGCTAGAGCCTTGCCTGCTTGCTGAGAGCTCTTCTGCTGAATGGTGTTCGTGTGACACAGTTTGACTCCTCTGTTCTTTGCCCTAGCAAGTACTTGAGATGCAGCAGTCAGTCAGTATTCCAGCTTTGTGGACACAGCTGGCGTGTGCATGCCCACTATTGTATTTCATCTATATTGCCATGATGGATCATCATCTTTTGCTGCAGAACGTTGCTTATTTCTTAACTGGAACAGTTGCCCAGTGAGGCTGTGGGTGCCTCATCCCTGGAAGCATTCAAGGCCAGGCTGGATGGGGCTGTGAGCAACCTGGTCTAGAGGGAGGTGTCCCTGCCTATAGCAGGGAGATTGGAACGGGGTGACATTAAAGGTCCCTTCCAACCCAAACCGTTCCTTGATTATCTTAACACTGGAGTAGGTTTTGAGTAACAGAATGTAAATTGTAGGGAATTTTTCAAGACAAATAGGCAATGAGTTATCAGGACCAAGTAGCAACTTACGTATGCAGAGGGCATAAATATTGCCTCATTTGATTAAAATCTTTAACTGGGCCTCTTGTTTCCAGATGTGGCTGCACAACTGCTCTGTTTCTGTTCAGTCCCTGGCATCTGATATGCTGCCGTTTGGGTGCAGGATTTATCTTTAACTGGAGTTAAAAGCTGTCAGAAGTGTCAGTTAAACTGTGAGAAATGTTTTCTGTGCATATACCAACCCAAGGCATGCTCACAGGAAAGTCATTTTGCAAATTGGATTATTTTTGTAGCTAAAGGTAAGCAGGTGTGCATGCATTGGAAAGGATCAGAGCCAGCGTTCAAAATATCAACGTGTCTTTGTTAGAAAACAAAAACATGCAATATAAACACTTGTTAATTGCAAGTTGAGATGTTTCTGTCTGTCTGCATAAGAAGAATTCCACGTAGTTTTGATGACATGAACATAGCTTCCAATGAGGATTGTGTTAAAAACTTGTAATTCGTGAGCCCTCTGTTAACATTTAATGACCCTGTCAGGAGGATATGATTGATGCAATTAAGTTGTCTTGCTTGTGTGTTACATAATTGATATGGACTGAGAGTCAGATCCTAATGTAGAACATATGAATCCCTTGTCCTGTTGCATTCAGGAATGAAATTAAAGCAATTTATAAATGTCTGCTTTCAGTTAAAAGTGGGGGAGGGACGGAGGAGGAACATCTGCATGCCAAAGCATTTTCAGTAGAGGCAAGGATTTATATTCTGCATTTCATACTTGGAATGTTTTTATCATATGGGATTATATCTGCGGATTAACTGATTTTAAAGGAAATATAGGAACATTTATTCTGCCTGTGGAAAATAAGTGTATTTCTACAGCAGTATTCTGGGAGCAAACAGACGCATTTTTTGACAACCAGTAGATGGTCCTCTGCTTTCCTTTGGTCTGTTTGTTATTTCAAAATAATTTTTTAATCAAGGATATTCTAAAAGTAAACACTTTGCAAAATTATTTTTTCTCCTTCACCTCACTGCAGTTCTGCTCTTTTTGTTCCCTTCCCCCTCCAGTTTCTTCTTCTCACTTACCGTACAGTAACCAAAGTACTTTCTTCCTTAGGCTTGCTGAGCTGCAGTGGTGTGTATGGTGTTGATACTGCAGGGTTACTTTGCTTTGGAAATGGGCAGGATTCCCTCAGCACTGACGTGACTCCATTCATTTGTATCACATGTAATTTTTTGATGTTAAGTGATGCAGCCAGTTGGCCACGGTGCGTGACGGTGCTCCATATCTGTCTCTGGTAATTCTTCAACACAGGTGTTTGCTGCTTTCCGTATGATAACTTGAGGTGCTGCCTGTTTATTAGGTGCTAACCATATCCTGGACTAAATAAACGTGGAGGTCAAAGGCCAGGGTGTTTATAGGTAGTAAAGTCGAGGGCTGATGTGCAAGATGTTTATCAGTACAGGATATGGCCAGTGCCAAGTTCGGGGAGCCACCCTCGAGATGTTTCTGTTTCTTAACAGCTTACACATCTGTGCTTCCCTCTGCTTAGGAGATGAGATTTTGGTACTGAATAGATTTTTAACAGCATCAAGACTTCATATGCCTCCATGGTGCTTTTTACATCTACGTTTTTATATGGACATTACAGCTGTTTCCATCTCTTTTGTGCTTTGATGGTGTTGCAATGAATGAAGGATCGTTCAGTGCTATATTAAAGACAAGAAAGTCTCCCTTTTTACAGTTCTTTGTTATATTACCTCTGGAGAGCAAATGTTACTTCAAATTAACAGCAAGCTGATTGACTTGTATATTTCCTCTAATATTTGACCTGTGCTGATAGGAATAGCAAAATTTGGGTGGAAAATGTCTGTGTTTAGAAAACTTAAACAGACAATAGATTGGCTTCTGGGCTGCTTGACTTCCTGTTTCAGGGCTCCTGGAAACACTGAGAAGCAGAGGACACTCAGAGGATGGTGAGGCACTGGAACAGGTTGCCCAAGGAGGCTGTGGATGCCCCATCCCTGCAGGCATTCAAGGCCAGGCTGGATGTGGCTCTGGGCAGCCTGGGCTGCTGGTTGGTGCACCCTGCACACAGCAGGGGGTTGGAACTGGATGAGCATTGTGCTCCTTTTCAACCCAGGCCATTCTGTCTTTCTGTGATATGATGTGGGAATGATGAACAGGAGATCGTGCAGTAAATGAGAATGAGAGTTGGAGCTTCTTCCAGTTGTGGAAGCGCACAGCTCAGTGTAACCCAATTTGAGATGCATGGAACACTGTGGGGATTGGGCTTGGTGATCCCCAGAAGGTCTCCTCCAACCCCTGTGCTTCTGTGATAGAAGTACTTCTGTTGGAGAGTGGCGTGGTACAGAATGCCCTTCCATGCTCATCACTGGTTTGAGTGGAGGCGGGGGTTCACATATTGAGCTGCTGAGAAGAAGCTGTACACACATCAGGGCCTCCATCCATGCAGATGGAGCATCGCCAGCATGGTGGTTAATTATGGGATGGTGCTCTGCTTCTCACTGTCTGGGAGCTCTATTTTATATCAGTACAGACACTGGGAGTACAAACCCATGCAAACAGCATGTGCAACTGGAATTATTTACTGCTTCTGTCTTTAGTGGTTACTTTGTCCAAGATGGCAGTTTTAAAGTAGAAGGTAATTTTTAGGCCTCATGAACTGTGGATCAGTCACAAGCAGCTTTTCCAACAGGTCCTGGTACCTCGATGGGAGACTGCTGCTACTCATTACTTGGGTCTGCATTGTATTTCCCCTCGCGCTTCTTCCTAAAATCGGTGAGTAATTAAAGGAGAGAAGCAAATATTATTCTACTTTAGTAGCAATTACAGTTGAAGACTTTAAAACCTTAATGGGTTATTTATTTATTTAAACTGGCAGGGGGCTGGCCATTGTGGGGGCTGCTTAAGTTGTACTGTGTTCTGCCTTCCAGCCCTGCCTAGTTAACCTATTACTTGGGTTGCAGTAGTATTTTGTCTGCAATACTAAAATAAAATCTTTACAGCAGAACATTAAAGAGCTGCATTTACTTACAGCATGCCATTAGTGGTAAGCCAGTTCTAATTCTGCCCTACAAAACTGCATAAATGATCTGTGACAGGCAGTTGGAATGTTGTTATTCTGAGTCCTAAGCCCCAGATACCAAGCACTGTAATAGAAAACATGCCTAAAATGTAAAGCTTTAGCTGTACATTAGGATCACTTTCCTTATAAATTCTCTTTTATTTTTACTGTTATTTTACAGGCTTTCTTGGCTACACAAGTAGTTTATCATTTTTCTTTATGGTGTACTTTGTGCTTGTGGTAAGTTAAAAATCAGAGCAGAGCTTATCTATTTTTTTTTCTTATTGTTTAAATGTTTTCACAAGACTGTTTTGAAATGAATTGTCTTCCTCTCCTCTCTTCCATTTTATGTAGCATTTAGTTTTCTTGGAGTTCAGTATGTGCTTGCTTGGACAGACTCTATTTGTTTTGCTGAGGCATGGAAATGCGTATGAACTTTCAAACATGTGAAAAGATTTAAAATAATTATATTTTGGACTGGCAAATGCAACAATATTTTTGTTTTGCTGACAGTGCACTGAAGGGAGCTGGCACATATACTTTTGTTTCCCTGCTAGTAACAGAATGGAATTTTGTTTGCTTAGCTTCTAACTATTACTTACTGCAACTAGTGCAGAAGAAAATTTAATATACTCCAAATAAATTAGATTTACATGTACGATGGAGTGACTGGGTTCAAAAAAAGGCAAGGAAAACTAGAACTTCATTAAGACAGTTTACAAGATTCATTAATACATCAATGACCTTATTCTTCTTTCCTGCTGAAAGGAAAGGTTCTTTTCTCTAAGCCATATGGGCTTTTTGACCCTGATGCTCACCCTCTCCAGGCCCCTCTGAGGTACATGTTTCCAAATATCTCAAGTGAGAACTGCTCGGCAGATCTGGGAGGAAAAACATACCTTTAAGTTGCACCATTTTTCCTCCTTACAGTGAAAGCTGTGTGAAGGCACACGTGTAGTAAATGGCACAACCAAGCTACTTGCACTCTGTTAGCCAGGTAGAGCAATGGGGATCTTTTTGGAGAGCCTGGAACAATGTTCCCCCTCTCCCTCATCATTCTGGCTTGCATTGACTTGCTTTTAATACCTGCTTTACAAAGGGATAAACAGAGTTGAAGGCAAGTTGAACAAACATGCCATCCGGGAGACCAAGGTAATCCATTAGGAGCTAAACCATGTGATAAAACCAAGCTTCAAAGCTGTCAAAACATCACCCTGGGGTATCCCTGGAGAGCTGCAGTGTTTGGAGGACCTTGGGAAGTATTCTTCCAAAGCTTAGCATTGAGGAGCAGCCACAGCCTTTCAGAGCTAATGGGAATGCATTTGTAATATTTATAAATTACCTTAACTTTTGACCTCTTCCCTAAAATTTATCTTGAAAGAAGGAAAAAAAAAAAAAAAGCTGAAATAGGTCTCAGGGTGAAGCTACTTGCAACAGTTTCTCAACAATTTCAATTCCTGTATTTGGCTGTGAATTTGTGCACGTATCTGAAGAAAGCTCTTCTGATGGGGAAGTGCACTGAAAGTAATTTGGGGCTCAGATAAACAAGACTTGCATGAGGATGCAGCTGTGGTGATTTAAGCTAGGATTTAGGTGTGTTTCTTTGTAACAGAAAGGTGTGGAAAATTCTAGATAAGGAGCACGCAGTGATATTTAAGGAGAGCTAATACTCTTTGCACAGTATTTTCTCCGACTTCATCAGGCATTGAAACTCAAATGCATTGGAACACAAAGGCATTAACTGTGGTTTGATTTCCACATCTAATTGCTTTGAAGTGGATGGCATGTGCTGTTGAAATGCTGTTTTCGTTTGCACAGTGTTAATTTCTGTATGGTAGATATGTTTTAATTGATTCCAGAAGAAAGCTGTGCTAGTCATATGCAAGCTGTGCAGTTGGATTTTACATACAAAATAATTCTGTGCATTTTCAAGTGCATGCCATCTGTGAAGCCTCCTGCCAGCAAGCCACAGTTTTAATACAGTGGAAAAGATAGGTGTGATAGGCAGTGTGTCCTGGTCAGCAGGTCTGCAGACTGTGTTCTGCTATGGGGCCTTGGCAGGTCACACACCTCCTGTGCTTTGCTGTCTTTTCCTGTAGAGTTAATGCACTGCTTATAGTCCTCACTTGGAAAGAATGAAAACACCAAGATGAACTGATGAGGGAGAAAAAATGTGTATGTATGCAGCTGTTAATTGAAAGCCAGATTCTGTGAGGTCCTGAGCACTTTCTCTTGTTTCTCATTGTTGAATACTTTCCCGATGTGAATCCTAAATGAAGAGAAATGAAACGTGATCGTTGCACTCTTTTATTGCCTCTTCTTGCTGTATTGAATATTGGTGAGGAGTAAAACCAGATTTTTTGGTGGGAACAGCCCTATTGGTAGCTTGTTCAACAAAGGTGTTAATGATTCCTAGTGGTATTTTTCTGAATCTCTTGTTTACGTTCCCAGAACAAAATGTGATGCAGATTGGGAACCTGCCACATGTAGTGAATGATGTTATACACAGAGCCCGTCTTTGCTGAGTGCTGTCAGGACTGCTGGAATAAAGGGATTCCTGTTTTCTATCCGCAGGATAATAAAAAGCAACATCTATTAGAACGTTCTGAGAACTCTGAATCACAGAATGGCCTGGGTTGAAAAGGACCACAATGATCATTTAGTTTCAGCATCCCTGCCATGTGCAGGGTCACCAACCACCAAACCAGGCTGCCCAGAGCCAGTGACTGACTTTATTTGTAGCAGTGTTTGTGCTGTGGATTTGAAATACTTTGTTTTCATCAGAATCTGCCTTTAGGTTTTGCTTTTTTTCTAAGTTACAACCAAATGTTTGTTACACTCAAAAAACAGTGCTTATGTGGATCAGGCTGCACAAGCAATGAAAAATCTCTTCCTGCTGGTGGCTTCATTAGAGATATGAAGTGTACTGCACTCAGTAATCCAAACAGATTTGAGTAATTAAGAGGGTAGGCAAATAAAATTCTATATTTAAAATGAATTTAGTGCATTTTCTATTGTCTCTTTTTATTTCCGTTTCAATTTGTTGAAAATCTCTATTCACGCCCTTTTAGAAGAATGTTCTCCAGTTTTTGTAGTTGGCTTTTCTTTCTTCCTCCGCCTTTGCAGTATTTCTGCACAGTGTTGCCCTTTAGCAGAAAGCTGTGTGCCTACCCACTGCCAAGCACAGCTCACTTTCCCCAAAGCTTGCCTTTTAGCTGGTGCGCCTTCACGCTGCTCAGGAAGCCTGTTCAAATCTTAGCCAGAGCTCTCGCAGATCCTTTTACTTTGGAGCCCTCCAAGTCTCTCCTTTATTTCCCCTCTCTGGGTACCTTGCAAGTATGGAGAGATCTCCTTGAAAAACTCGTTTCCTTCTCATAGAATCATTCAGGTTGGAAAAGACATCCACGATGCTCAACCCCAGCCCACCCCCACCATGCCCACTGACCATGTCCATCAGTGCCACGTCTCCATAGTTCTTGAACACCTCCAAGCAGGTATTGCCACAGCAGAAGCAGTATGGTGGGTACCTGCTGTTTCCTTGTCCCATACAGGCAGACTTCTCTTGCTTTTCTTTGGCCTTTATGGCACAAAGTTCTCTGGGAAACACCAGTTGGCTGTGAGCAAAAGGTGGATTCCTTGAGCCAGAAGAAATGTTCTCTCCCATGTTATTCTTCTCATGGATCTGAGTCTTTAATTAAGTTTTTAATTATTTGCTCTAGGCTTCAAAAGAATTATAACCTCTAAGGCCAGGCATCTACAATAGGAAATTAATTAGGGTGAGAAGAGCAATGCCACTATCATTTTAAATGAGACTCCTGAAAGAGGAGGTAACATTGCTTACTTTAATTTCCCTTTGATTTTCAGCCCTGTTACTTGGCAGTCCCTAAAGCAGCAGGGTGTAGCTAAAGCCCCAATGACATTCCGGGACAATAATTGCATTTATTGTTTTTCCTTTGCTTTCTAGTCCACACCATATGTTTCTGCCTTTTAAGATTAGCCCTAGGCTCTGCTCTATATCTGTTAAGGGCTTGTCTGCTTAGGGAAAGGGCCTGGGACAGCTAACACAGCAGCTATTCTGTATGGGAGGTGGTGAGCATGGAGCACAGAGAGAGGGAACGTGGAGCACCGGTTGTATTTCAGCTAATGTCATAGCTCATTTCAGCACAGCACCTCCAGACAGGCAAGCCATAAGGCTGCCAGCTGTGCTTAGCCAGCAGCTGTGTGGAATGGCACTGACAAGCTTTGCTGTCAGGCTCCCCTTTCTGTAGCCTGTCTGCCTACCAGTCAAGTTAGTTAATTTACTGTGGGTTTAGCTTCCAGCTTTGCGTACCAACTGTCTGATACTTTAGCTATGTGTATCTGAAGGTATCTTGATTTGGGGGATATAATCCATGCTGTCTTTGCAGATTATGATAAAAAAATGGTCCATCCCTTGTCCTCTACCTCTGAGCAGTGCAATAGAGACTTTACAGGTAAAGTGCATGCTGTTTGGAAGTTCTTCTAACATTTTATTAATAACTGTAATGCTTTTTTTACATTAACGCTTTCAGAATGACTTGCTATTTAAATTCCTTCTTTTCTTAGCTATCACAATTTTACTATCAAGAAAACCAAAACCTTTCATGTCTGTGGCTTGGGCTCATTCTTTCCTTATGTGTTGTTTTTTTTTTTTTTTGCCATATATGTCTTACAGGTTTCAAATTCTACTGCGGATTGTAAAGCAAAGCTCTTTCATCTTTCAAAAGAGGTAATCTCTATTAACAATAAGCTAACTAAAGGCGGGAGGTGTTAAAAAATTGGGGTTTAAATTCTATCCAGGGTAAGCTGAACATCTGTAAAACTAGTTACAGGCTGTGGAAATATTTCCTATACCTACTGCCAAGTGTTTTCCAGTCTCGCTCTTTAATATGAAGGCTGGGTGTCCAAGTTAGCATTTTATGAAAACATTTTGCAAATGTGACCAAAGTATCAAGTATAACAGATGCAGTGGTGCTCAGCCTCAGGATGCAGTTGGATCTGGGCACTATCTGTGCCCTCAGCTGGAATGCAGAGCTGCTTGACTGTACGCACTCATTTAGATCCTTAAAGAACATGTTTTCTGAAACTGCCTGGATATAAGTTTCATTTTTTCTTATCTGGAGCTAATTCTTCAGAACTAGTGCAATCTTATGCATTTCATTGGATGTCAGCTCTGGTATTTGTTAATTAATGTGCTTTTAAATTACATCATCACCCAACAAGGCTTGCCGGAGGGGAGCTATCGTGTACAGCTCTGGTTGCTTTGGGGTAAAGAGAATGGGGAAAAAAAGAGGAAGAGGTTTGAGATAGGTCTGTAGCATATTGGAATTCAAATGGGCCACGGTTGGTAACATTTGTGTGAAAGAACAAAATCTAACGCTCCAGCCCATAAAAACCACCCAAACATCAGGCAAATGTTAAATGCAGATCACAGAAGAAATTTTGCTTTGGCCAGAATCAAGCACCACGAGGATCCAGCTTTTTGTCTGGCCTTTGTGCTTTGTAGAATTTTGGAACTCGTCTCTATTGCATTTTGCCTTTTTCAATGTTATCAATTGAAAGTGGCAGATTTTTACCAGCATGGGCCTTGTTGTAGTTTAGCTTATTCCACTTGGCAATTGAAGCAGGCTATACTAGATGATTCATCTCTTCTAATGTAAGTTTTTGAAATAATATACCACTAATTGTGTTTGGTACAATCCCAGTTACGTAACTGTCTTAAAACTTGAGATGATAAAGCACGTTATGTTTTCTGGGAACTGTATCCAAGTATTTAAGAAGTAGTGAGAAAATAGGGAAGTCAGGGTAAGGGAGACAGTAATTTGACAGGTAGCTAAAAAGACTTAGAGAATTTTGTGGACGATACACCAGCCTTGGGGAAATTCCTACTCTTTTTACTTAATTACTTGTCTTCTCAGTTGTTAGCTCATTGACGTGCTGTCCAGTGAGCTCTCCTGATCATGGAATGGTAAGCTAAGAACAATGCCAGAAGCGAGGCTTGTTCAAGAGATCCAGTTCTATGTAACGACTCGGAGGCACCGTTCTGTGTTACAGAGATTTCTCTTGAAGCATTAAATTGAATGATTTCCAACGTCTTTCAAAGCTTGCACTGAATTCCTCCAGATAATTTCCCACCCATCTGTAATAACAAACAACTTACGAGGTGTTTATCTTCTATTTTAGAGTGCTTATGCAATACCAACCATGGCCTTCTCTTTTCTCTGCCATACCTCAGTCTTACCAATTTACTGTGAGCTCCAAAGGTAATGTATGAGAACACGTGCAATATTCAGACATAATGGGAGCATTCTGTTCTGTTTTCCTAAATTAATATTGAGTGTCATATTTTCAAGTTAATGCCATCAAACGCTGCAGCCTCAATCACCTTCATGTTTTTTGGAAATGTACAGTTCTAATCTGTAATTAGCTTATCTTTAACTGGAGAGAAAAATAGCAAATGTGGTTCTGTCACCAATGTCAGTACATTGTCTTGGCCATCTAGAGAAAAGGTCATTCAAAAAAAGGTCATTTACTAAGGTGCTCAGTAGTTGTTTTTCTTTGTTATCTGTATTTCACTGGATTCAGTGGGTTTTTTTTGGCCCAGATCCTGTATAAACTGCTATTTTTATTTTATTAAAAATCAAATAAATGTACAAATAAATCTCACTGACAGGCATGTCAGAATTCCTTTCCAGCTGGGGATGGTGCTAGATGGCTGTGACAAGTGAATCTTCACTACAAGATAAAAAGTACTTTAAAAAGAACCGTGTTACTGAGAGCACAATCTTCAGCAAATACTGCGTGCCCCTAAATTACGAGGTTGCTTTCTCATAAATGGCAGGCTGCTATGTTTTCTAATAATGTATCTTACGTTGTGTTGAATGGTCCATAGATGGACCATGGATAGATGAATCAACACTTCTTTTTTTTTTTTTTTTTTTCCAGTCCATCCAAAAGTAGAATGCAGAATGTAGCTGTCACAGGAATTGGCCTGAGTTTCATAATTTACTTTATGTCTGCTTTGTTTGGGTATCTGACATTTTATGGTGAGTATATTTTTGAAGTATTCTCTAGAATGCAGTGTTATAATAAATGATACATGCATTGTCTTCAGTACTTCAGGCTTGCTTATGCATCAATACACTGGGATCCTCATAGATCTTAGTCCCATGGAGAATCTCCCAAAGTGTTGTAGTACCACTGACTTCTCAACATGTAATTGCAGGGTTTATGCTCAGAGATACTCTGCACGCAAGATATGAGTGTGACCCATGAGAAACTAGCCCTAATGCTGGGGAGACATGAATTTTTGGAGGCATGCTTGTCCTGTCTGATACAGCTTGGGAACAAAGCATGTATTGCTTCCTTGTTTTGCTTCTGGGTTTTTTACAAATTTATCAGAGCTAGCACTAGCTGTTTCACTAGAAATCTGCTGAAAGATTTGTTCCTTTCCTAACATAAAGCTTTATTTTAAAGGATTACACAAAATGAATTTTTCATTATGCTTTTTTTTTGTTAATGTGTAAGGTAAACACAGAAAAGAATTAACTGGCAACAAGAAACTTAGAAGGTCTGAAACAGATGAAGGAGCAATCTAATTTCGTGTCTTGGCTTCAGCAGAGGGCAGGGACAAAAGGCTAGGAAAGAAATTAAAAATGTGGAGCTCAAAGCTTCCCAGCACATGCTTCCTATCTTCAGTAAATTGCCTTGTGTGCGTTTCCTGAGTCAGAAATGGTGTCTGTTTGATGCACATAATGAACCAAGAAAAGCACATTTCTTAGAGATATCGTCAACACGGCACTTGAAGAATATGCCTTTTCATTTTCCAAACAGAAGAGTGGGATATAAAACTGCCCTGACCAGTTCCATGGATACCTTTCAGTTCCATTTGCTCTAGAGCTGACATGACAACGTACTGCACTACCAGTGTTACAGCTGCACTTCAGTATACATTTGGGTGCAGTTTTTCAGTTGAGTTCACACGTAAGTGAGGGGTGGTATTGCATTTTACCAACACTCAGATGTCACAACTCTTACCTACATAGTGGCTCTTGTTTTTTAAAAGGTCCATCATAATTTTGGCAGAAGCAGGTGAGTGCCTCTTTTAAGACAACAACACTACAGTAATGTTACTACAGTATACAGCAAGAATTTGGCTTTTAGCAGCTAAAAATTGCAAAATTGAGAGCAATTTTGCACCTTGTTTCCCAAGCATTACTGTATGTCTGACCATAACTTCAGAAAGCATTCCCTTGGCACAGAATCCTTTGAAATATTAAGTGGGGAGTCTTGAAGCTCCTAGTAGCATATATTATTGTTGCTGTTTCCATGTGACTTTGTAGGGAATTCAAACTTGAAGCATCACTATGAGAGATTCAGCAGTCACTCTGGGATAACCATCTGTCTCCAGGTCACATCTCAGCAAAAATGAAATACAATAATTCATAGAAACTGACCCAGTTCCGATTACTTCCACTGCATCATTTCTTTGAGGCAAAGCCTTTTGACTGCAGTCTATTAGTTTGTGTCACTGAATATTTCTGGTTTTCTGGAAGCATGATTTCTTTCAGTAATTCTTAAACTCAAGAGCCCAAAACATCAGAACCAACAGTGAATGTCTGCAAGAGATTACATTTTTCCCTTCCAAGCTTCTGCTCCTTTTTTAACTTTTTGGTTGTCTTGTTTAATTAACTTAGTTCTTTAAATAGGGGGAATCTGTTTTCTGTTCCTAAAATACCAGTCCAGGAAAATGTAAAACATTTTATTTTAAATTGAAAACAAAGAAGGAGTTCCTTCTTTGAAATGAGTCATATTTCATCGTTCTGTGGCTCAGAAGTTTTGTACTGTTTTCTGTGAATTTGAAACTCAATGCAGCGCCTGCACTTGGGTGGAAATTTGGTCTGTTCTGAAGCCCAACAAAGCACTCGGAGTGGGAGGAGCAGACAGACCACTTCCAGAACTCTGACTTGCTCAGTGCAGTAGTGGTGCTGCTTACAGCACTGCTAGAGAGTTGTGATAGAAAGCTCAAGCAGCCCAGATGCATTTTCTTTGTTCATTAGTGAAACCCCTTCTTAAGTTTCAGAGCTTTTGTCAAGGTTCAGTCAATCCAGTCATCCTGACTTTAATTAAACCTACATTTTAATTTGTGAATAGTGCTTTTTGTTGTCTGTTTAAAATACTCCTATAGGAATTGTCTAAGGCTTATGCATACTGACAGGTGTATGTTTTCTTCAGTTATTGGAGATATTTTCAGCAGTTTTCTAGGTTTTACTTCTGCTGTTTGCTCATCCCTTCAGGCCACTAAAACTTGTCTTTTATTTTAAGTCTAGCTAACATGGTAAAATTCAGATAAGATTAAAAATTACTTTTCTAGTGAATGGATTGAAAGTTTCAGAACACGTATCTGCAAGCTTGGAATGGCTTTCTTTTTAAACCTTCCTTTTCCATATTTCCTTCATCTTCACTTAGATGGCTTTTAGTTCAGCAGAGTCTCTACAGCACCTTGCCTCTTGCACAGATTGTTTTCTGTTTTCTCTAGGTTGCAAATCAGTTTTAGCTGGTTTATCAGCAGGGTTTATATACAGTCCCCTCCGCTGTGCAGTACTCACAAGCAGATCGGTCCGTTTGAATGTAAGCTTCATACATGTTGCTCATTACTTCCCGTTAGTTCTCAAATGATTTAGAGGAGAATTCCTTTTTCTGCTTTTCAGACAAAGTGGACTCTGAATTGCTGCGAGGTTACAGCAGTTACCTGCCACATGATACTGTCATCATGACTGTTAAACTGGCCATACTGTTCTCCGTGCTTCTGACAGTCCCTCTAATCCACTTCCCAGTAAGTACTCCTCTCTGGCATAAGCAATGCTAACACTAATGCTTTGCAGGCTGTAATATCTGAGACACATCTAGTCCCGTGTATCTTATTCACTTGTCAAGTGATTGATCAAAGACCACAGATTTGCATGTGTTCCATGAGAGCTCCAAAATAACAACGAGCCGCTAAGCTAATTTGTGCTCTAGAGACAGATTTCAGATTAAAACTAGCCCACAGCATTGTTTTTAATTTAGAGAATTCAGAACTTCTGAAGTTTATTTAGTTTGATTTTTTTTTCTCCTAAATTGAGTTTTGCTGACTTAGGTTTTCCTTTCTGCACGCACACACACACACACACACAAACACACTTATACTTGAAAACTCAATTTCATCGTAAATTGAAAACACATATTGACTTATTTCACTGCAAGAATACTGCTTTAGCTTATCAATACCATGGTAGATTTGAGAGAATTCATTCAGTTATGAAAAATAAACCAAACACAATAGTCAAAACTATGTCTAGGTAAGCACCCTGGGTTACATACCAGTTGGCAGCACACTATTGGACCCCAAACCTTTACTTGTCCCAGCAGGAATTGTTCTCAGGACCAATGGCCACGTGATAGTGCTTCAATTTTGAAGTTAATTCCATGCTACAGAGAGAAAAAGACGTAATTTAACTATTATTAAATGATTTTTGCATTTCGAGTTAAAATGTTCTTTTGCATCTCGTATGGTAAAATTCTTTATACCCATTTGTGAAATTGAATAAGATTAAAAAAGAAGTACCTGTGTTCATTTACCCATTCTGTGTTCCTTTTCATTTTATGTAGGCGAGGAAGGCTGTATTGATGGTGTTTTTCTCTCACCTTCCCATGTCTTGGATTGGCCACATCCTTGTCACTTTACTTCTGAATACAATCATTGTTTTGTTTGCACTGTATGTGCCAGACATTAAAAATGTATTCGGAGTCGTTGGTAAGTTGTGGGTTTTTATTATTATCTTTGAGAAGTTCAGAATTGCACTGAGCCACTGTGTTCCAGTCGTGCTCTGATTGAAGTCTTTCTGGTTCTTATAGGTTCAACCACATCGACATGTTTGCTTTTTGTGTATCCTGGACTGTTTTATCTTAAGCTCAGCAGAGAGGACTTTCTGTCACCACACAAACTCGGGGTATGCTTTTTCTGTGCATGTACTAATTGCATTTAAAGAGGCTCATTTTAGATACATTTTAATGCACTGGAGAGAACGTAATCTAATGGGCAAAGTTCCAGTTTGCAATGCAGTTCACAAAATCTGTGAGCGTTTTCTTTTATTGTTCACGTTAGCTCTGCTGTGTCTGAAACTCCTTTTTTACAAGACCTCTCCGAATAGCAGAGTGTCTGTATTCTGGTCTGTTGATCTGAATACATGCTTTTCTCTATAGTTTTCAGATGTTGATTTTTAATCCAGTTTCTCCGTGGTTTTTACGCATTACTCTGATGTTGTTTGGGCAGCTGGAACAAAGCCAAACTGTGTTTAAGTGAAACAGTGTTTATGCTTGTTTTCTATTTAAGCCTCCTCAAAACCATGTTGTTTTTTTTCTTTTATGGTTTCTCTTTTGGCACATTTGGTTGAGTTCTAATTGGAATTTGTGCAGCAGCCTGCTTTTTGCACTGCAGCTGTGCTTGTCTTCTTTTTAGCCACTGCTCAGCCCAGTGTCATGGCAGGGTCTCAAATCATGGCATCCAGGTTGGAAAGGACCACTAAGATGCTCAAGTCAAACCCCAACCCACCCCCACCGTGCCCACTGCCCACATCCCTCAGTGCCACATCTCTGTAGTTCTTGAACACCTCCAGGATGGTGACCCCACCACTCCCAGGGCAGCTGTGCCCCTGCATCACCACTCTTGCTGAGAAGGAATTTTTCCTAATATCCAAACTGAATCTTCCCTGCTACAACTGAAAGGTATCACCTCTCGTCCTAAAAACGGTGAGAGTGCCTATGCTGTGACCATCTGCCATTGCTATGACTCGTAGGACTGCTCTCATGTTGATGAAACAGGGAACCTGAAAGAAAATCCAGTGATGATGGTCTTTCAACCATTTTGAATAAAATACAAATTAATTTCCTTCATTCATTCACAGTTGTGTTTATTCAAGCAGATCTGTACAGTTCTCAGGGGCACAGTGCAAGTGAACCAAGCCATTGTGAGAGTGCCCAGTGAAACTATCCTTGAGCAGACTTAGTTTCATTTCATTCTAAGCAAATACCTTGTGTTTGAAGACTAATTTGCAGCATGAAAGACTGTTTTAAAACACACTGTTTAAACCTGTTCTTACACAGTTTTTTTTATTTTCAGTGATACAGATATTTTCCTTCTTTCTTCACAGGCATGTGCATTGCTTATTTTTGGCGTTTGTGTTGGTCTGCTCAGTTTAATTCTGATAATCCTCAATTGGATTAATCAGTGATGCCATGTGGTTACTTTCCAAAGTGGGCTTCAGGAGGACAGCAAGACCCAGAGATACGGACAGCCTACAGAAAGCACTGACAGCAACCATCTTCAGAAGAAATAACACTTTTTCAGCCTGTTGGTGATGTTCCTTCATTACTCTTGAGTCTAAAATACTACTTCTTAATGATGCTCTTGTGGCAGGTACAAAGATCTCTTGATAATTCCTGCTACACAAAGATGGTTTGGAGCACGTGGTGAATGAATGCAGAACCTTAAGACAGCTTTTCTTTTAAAGAGAATGAGATGGATTTTAAATCAGTTGTGATGTGCATACAGCATATTATCTTAGCAGACTGCAGACTACTTAGAAGACTGCTGTTGCTTTATGATTTCCAAAAGTTCAGCCAGTTGATATTAGGAACTGACTGATTCCAAGTGTTTACCCTAATTTATCCTAATACATATTCAGAGGCCAGCCATCTTAGTCCAGTTTAATGGGCACATCATGAGAAGTGTATTCTTGTTTTATACCTCCTGTGTACTTGAATCATATTGAAGTAATTTTTAAATGAGCAGCTTTTGCCCATCCAGCATAATAAGTTCTTGCAGCATTAGTGATTCTGTTTGTAGTTAATAACTGATCACTTTCAGTTAATTCAGTATTATTCAAATTACCTCAGTATTCCTGCCAGCGGGAGACTTTTCTTTTTCTCTCTCACTCCCATTTCTACCAGTGTTTCCTATTTGAAGTAGAACGTATCTGTGTTTTATGTACTGCTGTACATTTGGACTTGAAAGGTGGCATTCTGCTGTCCTAAAGGCAAAGGAGATTTTATGTTTATGGAACCTTGATTTTACCCCAAATCTCGAAACATTCACACACCCTTTTGTAATTGCAATTTTTTTCTGTCTAAATGAATCGTGAATGTAGTTTTCAACACCAGCTGGGCTTTGTTACATATAGTATGGGGTGCCCACCACAGAAGTCCCTCATATCAGCCACTGCTTTCATTCTACTAATATCATGGTAAGCTTCCTTAAATTTGCTACTATCAGATGGAGTCTGATGTCTTTAGAATAGCCTAATCTCTTGAGAGACTTTATACCCTGAAGAAGTTAAGCCTCCGCAGAAATGCTTTATGTAAAGTTCAGAAATCAGACCTCAGACTCACAGCAAGATTTAGAGAGTGGGAAAATTCTTCATTATTTCCAGATGCAGTATTTCTTTTAATTTAGCTTAGCACTTTTACATCTGAGAATTGGAATGAAATACAAATGAAACATAGTAAATTAATTCATTTGTGTAACATGAAAGAAGCTAGTGTATGACATTTATGGAAATGTTTCTGTCCGTAAGGTGAACAGTAAATTAGTTGACTCTAGCTAGAAAATCCTGTTGAAACAGTTCTGTTAATATGTTGACATATGTTTTCTCATTTGAGATACGGAAGACGCCCTAGAAACTGACATTTCTAACCTCTTAGCAGCAGGTCTGTCTTAAGTTCCTGTGCAAAACTGGGGCCAGAAACTAAAGGTGAGCAATAAAGCTACAGCAAAATCGTATCTGTGCCATTCCCAAAGGCACTTCATGCACTTCTTGCATAAACAGTCATATTTTCCCATGATGCAGGAGAGGCAGCATTCAGTCTTTCAAGTATTGATTTTTAATTTTTGTTAATGTTGTCACGATAGCTGGTAACTCAGCTCCTCACTGCTGGTGGCTGTAGAGCAACCTGAAGATTGATTTCAGCTTGGAAGGACTTCACTTGTAAGCTGACTGCCTTGGGAAAGCGTGGCTGCCTGTGCCAGTGGCTGCAGGGAGCACTGGGCTCTCCAGAAAAAGATGTGCCAAATTCAACATAACCCAGAGAGAATGCGCTTGATCCTTCCCTGTGTAATAGGGAGGAACAGAAAATAGCAGAGTTGGAACCAACATCTCTGTTCCTGAGCTGGCAAGCTGTGCCTTCTCTGACTTCAGTGCCAGCAGATCACTCAACTCTTGGGATCCGTAAGATGTTTTTCCTTTTTGATAGATGGCCTGCAGGCACCCAGGTGGTTTTAGTGTGCAGTTGGTACTGCTTCAGGAATCCTTTTGCCTGGGGAATGTTCTTCTGCTTAGGAGTTTAATGCAAAAATAGACTCGAGTGATGAGGCATAGGAACTAATTCAGGAGTTTTGTTAGGATCCCCATTCTTTATAAGTCAGTACACTGTATTCTGAAAAAGATTGCAGGTGTTTTTATCACAAAGTTTATACCTGGGGTTTCATGACACAAGGTGAGGTCACTACCAGAAACAGCATGTCCACTCCTGGGTAGACACTCAGCTTCCTCCTATGGCACTGGCATAGTGGTGGCTCCTGCTCAGTTTCACTAGCAGAAAACCTGGAAAGATGATGAGTTATCTGCCAAAAACTGAACAAAGTGAGCTCTCTTGGAGACAGGGAAGGGAAGGAGGATGGAGTTGGACTGCCTTTTTAAGGCCACAGCAGCCATTAGATCAGTGTTTTTCTCACAAACCTCACTCTCCATCTTTGTGCACTTGGGATGCTTCTAACTTGAGAGCTGTCTGGCCTCCTGTGATCAAGGGGTTGGTCAGACAGTTTCTCAGCACCGTGTGAGTATCAGGGATTGGGGCTGTCCATCTTGCCTTTGTCCTTGCAGTTCACCCTTCCTTTTCAGTTCTTGATAATCAGGTGTAGCCCCTCCTGCCTGTGGCTGCCCTCTGATAGCTTTGTGCTCCCAGGCTTTGTTGGCTGTGGGGATTCTGTCAGGCAGAGCATCTCTGGCAGCAGTGCAAAAACCTGAGTATCTATTTCATATGAAGTGTACCTTGAGAAATCAATGATAGCTGCAGATCAGGAAATGATTTTCTAACTGAACCAAAACTTAGGAAAACAGGAGACCTTACATTCACATCAGTGAACTGTAGATATATTTTGTAAGATGCTAGAAATTAGGAAGAATATTTCTTAGAATTGTGAGGTTTTATGAAAACCGTTTCTCATATATCATGGTCTCGCAGCTTACTATTCAATAGTAGTTGTAAGACATCATTGCAGGCACTTTATTTTAAACTCTGAACAGCAGGACTTAATGTGGAAGATTTACATCATCTGTGAAGGTACAGAAAGTTGGCAAGATTCTGCTGAGCTTTTGCTCTTTGTTTCTCCCAGAGAAAAAAACTGAGTCTGCCCTGCCCTGCAATCCCCTATATCTGCACAGTTGGGTTTGTGTGCATCATGTTAAAAGATGGGGCTGAGAAAATGCTTGAAATAAGGCGTCGGTTTTACAGCTGATTCCTGTAATGCTATGGAAATTACTGCATTACTGGTTTTAAGCTCTGGGTACATGAGCCAGGCTGTTAACTGACTGCCCTGGTAGGTAGCATTGGGCTGATGAATACCAGTGTGTGAAGTTAATGTTCCGTGAGGATGAAGGGAAGCAATTCGCACCTCTGCTGGAGCTCTATTATTACATTTTGGCTGTGGTGCAGAAGGGATGGAAGCACACCGGTTTGCTGAACGCTGTTATCTTCCGTTTGCAAAAGAGAAATGCTGCTGCTTTTAAGAGGGTCCTATGATGTGTAACTTAAAACCTGAGGAGAGGGGCAGAAGGAGAGAACTATTGCTGCTAAATTTAGGAAAAGGTGCATTCGTTTTCCACAATTCAGAAACAGAGTAAGGACACTATTTTTAGTCTCAGTCTTCCCCAGACTGTTTGTGCATTATGTCCTGTAAGGGTTTCACTACAGCAGTACACAAGCATGAGTTCTGTTGAGCTCCACTCTCACACGCTTTTAAATATATTTTTCTTTAAACTTGTATACAGATTTTTTTTGTTGTTGTTATATTTCCAAATTGGTGCACTTCAGTGGTTCTGCTTTATTATGTGTATACCTTTCTATTTTCTGAAGCCTCGGCTAGAAAGGATCCCTTAGCATTTCTGACCTGGCTTGGAAAGGTTGCCTTTCCCCAGCTGCACGAGGAGAACAATGTGAGAGATGAAAATGAGTCAGTAGCCTTTGATTTGTTTTCTCTCGTTCTCCTGTTTCCATTCTGTGCCCGTGTAAAGGCTGCTCAGGTTTCAGATGCACTGTGGTTAGCTGGGCTGGTGGTGTCTCTTATAAGCAGCATTGCAGAAGGGAGCACTGCACACTGAGTGCCTACAGCCTGTGTGTGCATTGTGCTCAGTGCTCACTGTTTATTCCCTTCTTTTTAGGCATCTCAATACTGACTTTCACTGCAGTTTGTTTAAAGTTCTCTCATGTCCCTGTGCAGTGTAAACCGAACCTCTGTGATACCATCCTCTCCTCTCTGCCCCTCTCTTCACCTTCCCCTGAGCACGGAGGCACAACGGTGCAACAGGATCTCTGTGCTTGAGCTGCTAGGGCAGATGTTACATCCCACCCTGCTTGTAAACTCGTTGTTCGCATGGGAGAGGATGCAGGCTTGTTCTTTATTGCTGTATTTCTGACTGTGCACAAACGGTCCTCGTGGTAAGGATCTGGAAATCAGTGCTCTGAACCCAGCAGTTCGTGGAGGCTGAGAGGACTCGGAGGAACCATCTGCCTGTGTGTACCTCCATTGGGCAGCAGTAGAGCAGGTTATAGACCTGGGTGGGCCTGATCCAAAATGGCCAATCTTTTTAAAAATAATTTCATAAAATTAATTTTTAGGATTATCTCTATGGAATATGGCAATTTTCATTAGCATCATCATGCAGATTCAGCAAGGCACACAACATGTGAGGACAGAGCTGTGCCTGTTCTGGATACAAGTGATTATTTCACCTTGAACACAGGTGTGTTGAGCTGGCTCCAACACTCTTACAGAGCCAGAGTGAGGTTCTGAATTTGGAATTCTGCAAATTCAGCAGCCTGTCTTCTTTATTTGCTTCCTATAAACAGTAGGAGGAGGTGGACATTGTACCAGTGCATCCCTGCAAAGACATGAAGATTAATCACGTTGTTTCCAACTGTCCCTACGTGCAGAAATGAAGATTAACGTTAGCTCAGTAGTGGGCATCCTAATGCACTCTAATTAAAGCTTCAGCTTTAGGTCAATCCAGGAGTTACAATAACATTGATTGCTGTAGAACTCCTCTCCTAATTGGATTTAACACTTAACACAGAATCATTGTTTTACATTGCCTTTGATGTTGAAAGCATTCATTATAGTTGTTCTGCATTCCATGGAGCTTTGGGACGCATCTACTTCCCAATGACTGCCACTGAGAGACAGTTTCCACTGTTGAAGAAGAGCTGCCTAATTTTTACAGTTTGTGGTGATGTTTTTAGTATTTGTGTTTCAAAAGTGATCATTCAACTGTGCTTAATGTGGAATTGAAGTTTTCTTTTTTAAAAGAAGCCATCTGTATGTAAAAAATACCTCGTGAACATCTGATCTGTGTGCCATGCATTTCCTGTTTCGAGTTCTTCCTCCCACAGATTTCAATGGAGCAGCCGCGGCGTGTTCCAAGAAAAACAGAAAATAAAGAACAGTGTTTGCATAACTCATTTGCTGCTCATCTTTGCTTCCTGTGCATAGTGTGGAAAGCAAAGTGAAGCCGACGCTGCGCTCTGCTGTCGGTTCCAGAAGTGCAAATTTGTTGCTGTTACCCCAGCTCAGGCTATAGCATCTCCATGGCCAAGGAAAGGTGGACGACTGCTTGAGGAAACTGGCAACCACAGCATCATGGAAGGGAAGGGCCTACTGTGCTCCCTGACAGCTGTCCTGGCTGCCAACCTTTGTGTTACGCACCCCTAAACCCTTCAGTATGAGGCAGTCCTGAAGAGGGCAGTTGTATGGACCAACCTCGTTACTCTGCTACGGACTTGATAACAGAGGTAGAAGAATGGAAGCGTGCTCATTGCATGGAAACGAGCATCAGCAAATTTGTATCTCATTTATAAAATTCCCCCCAACTAGAATTGGTACAAATGGCCCCACAGCTGCATTTTTCATATGTGATGCAGAATTCGGTGCTGCCCTGCGGCAGCTGCTCATACTTGCTGGTGCTGCTGAATGAGTTCTATCCCGGCTTGGCCTTCCTCTTGCCTCCAGCATTGCCACTTGCAGGCTCGTGGTTCACACAGCAGCCCTGGGAAGCCAGGCAGCTCACTGCACCTGGTTTAGATTTAAGGCCTGTTTGCACATGATGTCACACTCCTATTGTCAGCGCAGCAAACATTTTGGGGAGGTTTGCATTGTTGAGTCTTCACAGTAATGCCTTAACCATCTGACTTGCATTTCAGTTTTCTGGCATGATGTAATAATCAAAGGCACTAGATTTATATGATCTATGGGAGTCTGATTGGCCCAGGTTGTTGAACTACTTTTCTGGAGACCAGTGTGGAAATTAGGGCTCCATTTTGTCATGTAGCAAATGAAGGATTTGGCCAGAGGAGAGTGGAGAAATTTGGAGACTGGGTCCATGCTGGAGCCTCCCTCCCAGGTAGTTGCATTTGATATTGGGATTTTCACATTTGGTGGGCACGGCAAGGTTGGGTTGACACTTGGACTAGATGATCTTAGTGGTCTTTTCCAACCTTTGTGATTCTATGGTTCTACATGTGGGGATGATGGAGGGATCTTGGATGTAGTTTGCAGGGCTCAGATGCTGCAGGGCTGGAGCCAAGGGCCAGGAAAACCTCAGGCCCTGCTGCCCTCTGTCCTACTCAATTTGGCTCTGTCCTCTGTCCTTTTGTTTCATGCCTGATCCAGAAGCAGGGCATTAGGTGGCGTTTCCCCAGCTGGTAGGGCGTGCTGATGAAAGAGCTCTCTAGAAGCCATTTGCTGAAATGAGGTTGTTAGAAAGTATCTGAGCTGCAGTGCTTCTGCAAATTTTAATATTCCAGAGGTTGATATTTCACAGAGTGAAATTCCTCGTCTTTGAAACCCATCTTTCCAGTTTGAATCGCAAGCACAGAAGTGCCCAGGCTGCCGGGAACCTGCAGAGCAGCTGTGTCCTTCCCTGGAACTGCTGAACACAGAGCTCAGCACGACTTTCTGCATCCATTCTCTGCAAAAAAAGTTGAAGTGCAAGGAGTAGAGAGAGCCATTTGCTGAACCTGCACATCTATTTTTACCCCCCTGCTCCCTAATGTTCCTAGAATAAATTTCTTAGTGCACAGCAGGTTAGGAAAAAAATAGTGCTGATGGAATCTGTGTTATCCCCATTGTGCTGCGAGGAGAGATATCAGCTGCTTTGCTGACCTGTCAGTTGCACAAAGCTGCATTCCAGGTACTGAGGCCATTTGCTCATCACGCTTTGCTTGACGAAATGGCCACTGGGGTTTATATATAGACCTGCTTGCCCTGCCAACTTGCCTGGAATTCCTGCAAACTGAATGAAAGCTAGAGGGGCCGCTTGAAAAATAGAGCTGCTAATCTGCCGGTGCCTCTGGGAGAGCCAGCTGGGATGTCCCAGGGCTCAGGGCCTGATGTCCTGCTGGGGGTGAAGCAGCTGGTGCCCCACTGGGGGTTGGGGAGTGAGGAGGGTTGGGGGGATATTTATTTATAGTGGGGATGAGCAACAGCTTCGGGGCTGTGAGGGGCATGAGCAGTCAGGGCAGGTCCCCGGGGTGCAAATGTCTCCACCCAATTCAAGTATCTGCTCTCATATTTATGAGTGGCACAATATGAGGTAGCTACACCTGGTATCCATGTAGAAGCTTTAGGCTGTAAGCTTGTGCCAGTAGACAAAACTGCATCTTCGAAAACAACAATTCTTCTTTTGTGGTTGGAGAGCAGACCTTAGTCATAGCAAAGCAAAGCAAAGGTGTGTTCAGTGCATCGCTGTGAAACCACACACACAGTGTGGGGCTGACTCAGGGTTTCCATGCTTGCGTTTGGTGATGCCATAGTTCCGTAGCTTCATTTGCTTTTGAATGATGAGCCAGTGAGGGCAAGGAGATGGATGGGCTCTCCAATCACGGGTATCTTGTTTGCTTTGTTTTTCAGCCTGCCCTGCTGGCAGCTTTTCATTCCTCCCAAGGATGTTGATGCTGGAGGCACGAAACTGACAAAATGAATCCTTTGTCTCTGCAGTGAAATGTATTGATCTCTGAGTGCATCAGTGGGCCCCTACAGCACAGACTTCATACCTGTTGAAGTGAGCACACAGGTCCCTGGAGTTTGGCCACGCTCAGTCTTCACGCTGGAAGAGGTTGGTTGCCACGCTGCAGGCATGCCTTAATTTTCTCCAATCTGCTGCTGGCCCAACCGTTCAGTAAACTCTGATGTTGTTAAAAATGTGAGTAAAACACTCCTTTTTCATTAGGCTTTGTTACTTGGTCAGCTTCCCATGGTGCTTTTAGGGGTCCATGCGTTGACGCAAGCTGATCGTATTAAGCAATGAGTTCTGCCTATTGGTGGGGAGAGAGCTCTGTGTGCACCCCAGGCTTCAAGGAAATGTTATTTACATCTCTCTGAAGAGTTTAGCCATTGGTGAAGCCTAACATCAAAAAACATCAAACCTGGTAAGAAAAAAACATTCCAAATATCCCAGGTAAATGAAATCCATGCGGGATGATGGGAGTTTCTCTTGAACCAAAGGCTGTGGCAGGATATTGCTGCTCTTCTAACACCAAGAGCAGCAAAGGCCAGAGAGTCATTCAGGTTGGAAAAGACCTCCAAGATCCCCCCACTCAACTCCAGCCCATCCCACCATGCCCACTGCCCACATCCCTCAATGCCACATCTCCATGGCACTTGAACACCTCCAGCATGGTGACCCCACCACTCCCTGTGCAGCTGTGTCACTGCATCACTCTTTAAGAGAAAATATTTTTCCTAATACCCAACCTGAGCACAGACAGTAAGACCCAGGTGTCCTTAACACGTCTCCTTGGATTTCTGCACTGACAACAACAGTGTAGATTATTTTGAGGAATTCCCACTGAAATTCATAATAGTTATTATTCTAACAGTTAAAATACATCTAAGTAATAAACCTCCATGAGGTGGCTTCAGCTAAAACCTCCGCTGCAGTTTGTCTGTCTGAGCTGATACATCTGCAAGAAACTCCCGGGGCTGCATTACACTTTTAATAGATGATTTAATAGAAATAGCAGAGTTTGCTCACAGATGGGCACGCCGTGCATTGGTGGTGTGGTGAAGTTGGTGCCTTGCAACTGGCTTGTTCAGCGCAATAAAAATATATTGGGTTCCCGAGATGTTGACCAATGGGTTTGGGAAACAGATGATTGATTCCCACAGCTGAGAAACAGGGATTGTAATGTGTTTTGCCAGAGGAGACCAGTTTGACGGATGAGTTCATTTAAGGATTATGCTATAGATAGAGCTGTTGACAGAATAAATTTGTTTTTATTTTTCATCAGTAGGTATAACACAAAGCAGAACTAATTGGAAGTAGTTTCCTTGTGGCATCTGGTTGTGTTTCTTGCTTTAAGTCTTTCACACGCTGTAAAATTACACCAAGGGCTTTTCTTCACTTCGATTCGCTTCCCAGGTTTTCCATTGCTGCCTTTCTAATGGGTTCCCAGTGTGCAGGACATGGTGAGAATCAGCGAGGAGCAGAGCCAGGGGTTTGTTTCTGCTGATTGCACAAATGTTTTGGTGTTCATCACCCACCCAACCTCAGCAGACACTCTGAGGTGTCCTCACCGCACCGCTGATGGCAGAGCCCAACCCTGCCTGCCCTTCCAGATATTTCTGATGGCATTTTAAGCTGTGACCTGCACTAAATACCATTCCTGCATACGGCCCAAACCTGGGAGGTGGTTATGTTTACTTGGGGAGGTGCTCTGAGGTTGAAGGAAGGTATTTAGTTAAGATCTGGAAATAGCTTTTCGAGGCGACCAGAGAACAAACCCCGGTGTTTGTAAGGGGATTTGGCTGGCTGTAGGCTGCCCATCATTCCCTGGCTCCAGCTGGGTGCCTGCAGGGGGGTCCCAGCCCCATGAGCCCCCCGGCTGCTGGCGGTCCTTGTGGGAGCTGCTGGACTCGTGCAGGCTGCTGGTGTGGAAATCTAGGCTTTGTGGTTCCAACCAGCCTGACAAATTTGATCTGTGGGTTTGGGCTTGGGATTTTCGTGTATTTTTATGTTTTGTTTTAAAGTTTTTTTCTTTTCCAGTTGTGGTCAAATAAGAGTTTTCCAGAACTGACTCATATAGGGCCAAAGAACAGGAATGCAGCAAGCACTGCAGCGCCTGCCAAACGAGCAGGCTAGTGGTTGCAAGAGAGAAAATATCTCTGGGTTCCACCGGGTCCAATACCTGAGGAGAGGAGTCCATGTGATTTCAGGATAATGTTTCAGGTTAAATTCTAGCCTTCGTTTGGCCCCAGACCTGAACTTTAAGTCCCAGCCAAAACATAATCCAGATCTGAAAGCCGGCTATTGGCCTATCTTCTGCTCATCATGTGTGCAGTCATTCAACAGAAGCTGAAATGTGTTTTCTCTGCCAAGAGCCATTGGTTTCCAAACAACTACATCAGCGCAGTGAGTGATGGAGTTTCCATCAACTGCTGTAGGCCAAATTCAGTCATCTG